GAAAAACCCCGTAGCATTAGAATGTGTCTGAAAACTGAAACAATCTCCCCACCGAATGCAGTGTTTGTGACGTGTTAGCATTTATTCAGTGCGTCTAGTCACTTGGGGACGGAAGAAACAATAAGATGAATGTAACAGCCTAGTTTAGTACATTAGATTTTGAAGAATTTAGCGGACAGCGCCATAGCCATTTTACTATTTTTCTAGTGATCTTGCTTACCTTTCTCTGGGATAATTCAGTCAGGGCACTAAATGCTCTTAAAATCAGATTTCAAGAGTTAGTTATGTGGTAGGAAAGCCTTCACTCTATGACATAGTTTGTCGTTGGCCTTTCAATTTATTAACTGTGTTATGTGTATTGATTGGTCTAATTGGAAGAGTGACAGGTCCACCTTTCGATTTGTGCCTAGTCCTAGTCCACTCGTAAGATAAGCATGTACAGGTTTTTAGTACTTTCTAGTCCATGAGTTACATTTTAATTAAGAGTTGGTAACTTGAACTCAATTTGTTGTATAGCTTTGCTTCTACACCTGTTTTTCTTGATGTAGTATTTCGTGAGTTAAGATTATTACATCATGATTGGCTATAGCATCTCCATTGTCCTAGTCGTCTATCATTTATGATGCAATTACTTTGCTAACTTAAATGAGAATCCCTTGTTCCTTGTTGGTTCCATAATCACTGGTGTGCTAAAAAATGCTAGTAAGGTTGTGAATCCCAACGGCTTCTGGTCAAAGGAGTTTACTGACGACTCCGTCTCTAAGCATGGAAAGTAGGTTGGACTTGCGTACACTAGTGCGATTGGTTAGAAAAAAGGTTTTTCGGCCCCATATCTAGGTCATCTGTTTTCTACTAATTCATTGTCGTGTTCTTTAGCTTGAAGCCGAATTCTCCATTTCAGGATTGTATGTTATTGTATCGATTATTTATTTACTTATTTAAACAAATAAATATTGGCACAAGGAAGCACCAGATAAATATGCGCCTCACAAATATCATTCGATTTGTGTGAGGGCTGTGATACTGCTCAGGTGTCCAGACTGAAGCAGGTGGTTTTCTTAGGCCACACCCGGAGCCTTTAACCTGAAAGTCTAGTCCACAAGGCAGTGGAGCATCGTGAGATGTAGCCCCATGGTATCCGTTGACGAACGATTGGTTCACACGCCATTTGTTCCTTCAGGATATTGGAGCCCATGTGCACCATTGGTTTGGAATCAGGGTTTTACAGCTCCCCTAGGTGAACTTTCCGTGTTCACCAACCCGGTTAAAGCGCGGGACATTCGCTTTTCGTCCTCTCACTTTCGTGAACAACACCTCGTCACGAGAAGGCAGTGAGTAGGACTTCCCTAGCAGAGGCTATATACGTGTGGCCATGTGAGAGCATTTCCGTAGGAAGAGCGGACTTTCCCCACTCTCGGCCGTACCAGGGCATTTGGGGGCTATCGATAGATCATGTAGAATGCGATTCATCTTGCAGATTGATCAAATCTTTCCTATACATTCGTCTTTCATTATCACACTGCTAGAATCCCGAGAACTAGATCTCACCGTCGCTTATTTCGACTTCAAACATATTTCTAGGGCCTTAAAAATATGTGTTGAATATTTTGACGAGCTCCACTCTTTTTCATTAGGATTCGAGCTCTGCTTTAACAGGAAATTCCGCCCTATTTTGACTAGTCTGGGGCCTCTTTGGTTGCGTTCAGTGCCAATGTTAAATCCCCATCGAGATCAAGTTTTTCAGTTTTGGCAGCGTTCGTATATATATATATATATATATATATATATATATATATATTAGTCAGCGACAACGTAGAACTTCGTACGTACATACATCAGTTCGAGTTGCCATACCACATTAGCACAGAGATGCAGTTGTCGATTCAAATACCATAGTGGTAGAAATAGTAAGAGTATAAGCAGTAATCGGAAATATTAAGGTTTGAAGATGTTATTCAAAGATAATAATCCAGTGAAATAAACATCAAAAGACAAAAAAGATAGAGACACGAAGAATTCAGAAGATTAGAATTCGGCAGACCGCAAAGAGTGGATACACCTTCGCAATTGCAAACAAATTATAGCCATGTCATTCAAGGTCTCTAACGATCAATCGCTATCATCTCGCGGCTCCCAACCGGGTAGTCTACACCTACCTACATGGCTCAGTCCACTTGTCAGTGACTTCATGGATTTGTGCCACATTTTGGTCTGACCGCCCCTATCTTTCTTCCAACCTACTCCTATACCATGAAACATTGCACGTCGGAGCAGTCAGTCATTGGGTATACGTCACACGTGTCCCAGCCATCTCAAATGATGAAATTTCACTACTTCATCAATCGATTTGCCATCCTTACCTAGTACTTGTTTCCTAACAACTGCATTACTTACTCGGTCGTCCCAGGTTATGTGAGCAATGCTTTCAAGACACATATGATCGAATACTAGCAGCCTACGAATATCCTCTACTCTTATCAACATGTTTCACCGCCATAGAGTAGGACTGAACGAACTGCTGCACAGTAAACCCGTCCTTTGGTTGCTAGACGGATATATCGCCTACACCATAAATAACGTAATTTGGCAAAAGCTAGACGAGCCTTATGTATCCGTGCTGAGATTTCGTCACATACCAGACCACAAGGGCTGAAGTGACTCCCAATATAAGTGAAGTGGTCAGTACGCTCAACTACTTCACTCCCTATCATTAGTTCGGGTGTCGATGCAACCCAGTCGTGAAGTAACATTTTGTACTTCGAGGGAGAGAATGGCATCCCGAACATGCCTGCATTGTTGCTTATAGCCTCTGCCAGGGAAGTCCTACTCACTGCCTTCTCGTGGCGGGGGTGTTGTTCACGAAAGTGAGAGGACGAAAAGCGCTTTAACCGGATTGGTGGATGTGGAGTATCTACCTAGGGGAGTTGGAAAACCCTGATTCCAAACCAATGGTGCACATGGGCTCCAGTATCCTGATGGAACGAATGGCGTATGAACCTATTGTTGGTCAACGGCTACCATGGGACTGCATCTCCTCACGATGCTCCACTGCCTTGTGGACTAGACTTTCAGGTTAAAGGCTCCGGGTGTGGCCTAAGAAAACCACCTGCTTCAGTCTGGACACCTGAGCAGTATCACAGCCCTCACACAAATCGAATGATATTTGTGAGGCGCATATTTATCTGGTGCTTCCTTGTGCCAATATTTATGTGGTTAAGTAAAATAAATAGTGGTCAGAAGGCTCCGCATTTTGTCAGCGTCTTCACCAAATAGAACTATGTCATCGGTGTATTCTAAGTCAACAAGTGAGCCTCAGGGTAAAAGCTAAACTCCTGAAAATTTAGACGAGGAAAGCGTTATTTCTAAGAGCACGTCAACGAAAAAGTTAAGGAAGAATGGAGGGAATGGACAGCTCTGAAGAACACCATTTGAGGTAATCAATTCTGATGACAGTTGTCCATAGACTCTAATTCAACCAGTTGTGTTCGAGTAGAGAGCCTTTATCAAGTTAATGTACTTGTTTGGTACTCATTTCAGTGACAAACACTGCCATAGAACCTCACGATCAACGGAGTTAAGCGCCGCCTTACGGTCAAGAAATACTACGAATTCGGGGCATCTGAATGTATGTCTATGTTCCAGGACCTGACGTAGTGTGAATATTTGGTCTATACAACCACATCCATGTCGAAAGCCAGCCTGGTTTTCTCTAGTCTGCTCTTCACGAGCTTTAGTTAGATGTTGAAGTGCTATTCAAACTAATATTTTAGACACTATATTAGTCAAACTGATCCCCCTATGGTTGTCGCAAGAGGATTTTTGTCCTTTCTTATAGACTGGCACAATCAGTGATTGGGACCAGTCAGATGGAATTACGTCCAGTTCCCAGATTCTGCCTAAGACCTCAGTCAATCTCACTGCTAGTACTGGACCACCATCCTTAAAAATCTCAGGGGTCAACCTGTCAGGGCCTGCTGCTCTCCCTCGCTTCAGATTTCCTATAGCTTTTTCTATCTCGTGAAGAGTTGGAGGGTTTACATTTACTTGCCATTCAAGTCGACTGGGGATTGTAGGAAATCGAAGTGTGGCTGAAGGCCAGTTAAACTGAACCGCTACAGTGTTCTGCTCATCGATCCGATATCTTGATTTGAGAGTGAATAATATATCCATCTTTATCTGAGATATACTCCGCCTGTAGCTCTTCGAGAGTTGCTGCCGGTCCCAAGCCCGGGTAAAGGAGGAGGGTTGGGTATGGGGTTAGCGACCCCATCCCGTAGAAAAGCTAACTCGCTAAAAAAGCGCTAACCAGAAATGCTAGTGAGCGGCCTATGCTCCTCGACGAGGGGTAACAGGCGTAAGTAAGTAAGTAAGTAAGTTATCTGAGATAGTTTCGCTGACATTAGGGTTCCTAATACCGGTTTCCTTGAGAAGTTTGAACAGTTGTCTGCTGTTACCCATTGCCGCTGCCTTTTCCATCTCTCTTGTTTTCTCTACTAACCACTGTTCGCGATCACTGTGTAGGCTTCTTATCAGCCTGTGCTTGAGTTGACTCCTCTCTTCGTTATGTTCAGAGCCAGATGGAATGAGTTTTCGAGCATCTATCAGTGTGGTAGATGCTGCTGAAATCCATCGTTTCTCCCGAACCTTATGGTTTATCATATTAGCAGATATCACTGCTGTTTTCACAGTTTCTGAATATCATTGAATTTTTCGGATCTACCCTTTTTTATGGTCCCACCAAAAGTTTAGGATTCTCTGTTGAAATTCTTGAAATAATCGGAGTCGCTACCTTGTTGTATAGGTATCATTACCAAAGTTTGACTTGGTGATTTCGAATAAATTGAACATTGAGTAGATTGTTATAAATAAATTGATGTATTTGTAATATCCCAGTGAGTAGAAAAATTAAATTTTCTGACGTTTCGTGACTCAGCGTAAGCCGCTTCCTCAGAGGAGAGATAACCAAATCAAATTTAATCTAAGTTTACATAGTACAAAGGAACAAAACGAGAATATTATGTGCGATTTGTTAAAACTTGTTTTTTGGTTGATCGCACATAATATTCTTGTGTTGTTCTTTTGTACTATTTAAACTTGGATTAAATTTGATTTGGTTATTCGTTCTCTGAAAAAGAGGTGTGTTATATAGCTCAAAACTCATGGAACTCACGAACGTATGAATCGTATGAATCTTGTAACGAACCAATGCGTTTTGTTCTTCGTTTGAAGTTTCCTCTAACATTTGCTTTCTTTAGTTCCTAATTAATTTTATTTGTAATACTTTTTCTTGTTGATTCCTCACCATACTGGTGCACAGTAAAGCGACTTTGATAAGTATCCGAATAAATAAGGTTCAGTTTATTTTCACGTCTCGCTATCTCATTTGAGGGTATAACTTGTTACCTGGTTAGCTAAATATGGTAGCAGAATTCAGATAAGTGACGTTGTAATTTAAAGTCAAATGTTCAAATTAATCATCGTAAATTACTTTCTGTTGAAACAGTCACTTATACCTCAATTATTCTTTTCTTAATAATTATTATATGTCTTTTCCTTTTCCAAAACTTAGGAGGTAGTTGAATTCTTTAGTCGAGATGTTGATTACGTTATAACTAATCGGATATCATCTCGATTGACATCACCTATTATTGATGAATCACATGTTACATCGTCGAAACAATCCATTTCACTTCAAAATCAGTCCTCATCCATTTCACAAGCACCAAACAATCTCAAAGTTCCTGTGTTAGTTGGAAGCAAACCTGTTAATAGCCCAGTAACACGTGGTAGAGCTATGTTACTTGCCGCACGCAAAATTGCTGCTGAAGATTCTAATTCTACTCCATCAGGTATTACAGCCTCATCGATATTAAACCAAGTAAGTTGGTTGTTTTTAACCTATTTAAATTATCACCACAAATGCGTTTTCTAGTGTCGGTGATACTTTTAGACTTATTTCAAAAACTGCATTTTCAGGGTAGGGACCCGTGTTAGTAGACGAGAACTAAATGAATAGATTCATGTCAGATGTTACGTTGACTAAATCGAACTGACTAATACATGTTATTCCTGTTTGACACTTTGAATGTCTAACAGTTTTAAGATTGCTGGTTCTGAATATGTTGATAATAAGAGGGTTTTGTAATATGGTCTCCATCTTGCAATCATTTTAGAAGTACTTACTTATAGATCAATCCATTTTGTCTTTATACTTGTGATGCAATGATATAGCGGAAGTAATGTAGTCATGATAACCTCAAGGCCTTCAGCAAGTGTGTTTCGGCCCCAATCACATCACGACATTATAAGGGTTAGATTAACAAGGTATGGAAAATGAGTCGAAGTAGTGGTGGCGGGTATAATAATAAGGAAGACTAAACATAGAAAATATATTTTAGTGCATTCGGGTTGTCGCTAGCCGTAGAATGTAGTGGTCTTGAGTGCTGTTAGAGGTATGAGGGCAGTTATCACTTCCCGGTTGCCCACGCCGTGGAAGGGTTCTTCTAGAGGTACCTGAAAAGGAAATTGGGTTAGAAGTGGTCTTAATGACCTGAGAGCATGACCGAAGTGTTCAAGGGACAACTGCTTGAGGTTGGTCACACACGACCTTTTTGTGGGTAGTTTTTGTGTTAGCTCCGTACTTGATGGGACCTTACCGCCGAAGACGGATATCCGTGGGATAAGGCGAGGTGTGCATTTTTAGGATTGACCTTTTCTAATCCCACCCCTCCTTGTGGGAAGGCAGCATCGCTGTCATGCTGGTTGTCTGAAGGAAACACCTTACTGTTGTCACACCTCTGTACAGTCAGCAGTACAACTTCGCCTTCGGACCTTTGGTTTGCTGCTTTTATTCTTACCGCTCTTCAACCGACCTGTCTGGCATGGTAGGACCTTGAGGAACGATTGTTCCAGCCAGCATAGTCCGATTGATTCACCACGATAGGCAAGCCCGACCACCACGTCAAGGTAGCAGCAACGGTCTAGTGTAGAATGTAGGGTGCGCGTTTAATCGTATTCCGGACTCGTCAGCCAAGTATACGACTCTTGATGTTTAAACTGATTTGAACCGAGTATACAGCTCTTCAACTAATAAGGCGTTATTCAATAAGCTACTGAGTTACCGTTTTGTCTAACGGGATTGTAGCCCTGAATTAGACCACTAGCCACCACCAAAAGATAGTAAAACTTGTAACTAAAGGCAGTATCAAGGAGATCCATTCAGGTTATCCTCTCTTAACAACATCAAAGTCTAAGCTCCTATATATGGGTAATATGGCTCGGAAAGAGTGTATGAAAGAACATTAAAACGTAGAGGGCCCGCAAATGCTCTGATAAGGCCGAGATTGGGTAGGGTCAGCTCTCCCTCTCGAAATAACCTCACATGGCCACGTGCATGCAACTATTGCCAGGGAAGTCCTACTCATTACTGTCTCTCAGTGGGGGTGTTGATTGCGAAATTGAGAGGATGAAAAGCGAATACCCGGCGCTTTAACCGGGTTGGTGAATACGGAAAGTCCACCTAGGGGAGCTGTAAAACCCTGATTCCAAACCAATGGTGCACATGGGCTCCAGTATCCTGAAGGAACAAATGGCGTATGAATCAATCATTGGTCACCGTCTAACATGGGACTGCATCTCCTCACGATGCTCCACTGCCTTGTGGATCAGACCTTTAGGTCAAAGGCCCGGGTTATGACCTCCTAAGAAAACCAAATGTTTTGACTTAGTTACTCGACCAGTATCCAAAGGAGAATTATAAATGAATGCACTTAATCCACTACAATCGATTTTGAATCTTTTCACTCAAGGTATCTAACTATTAGTCACGTTTATTGCTCAAACTCACAGCTAGTGGTTTCAGCCCAGCAAGACAGTTTATTCCTCATGGAATGATTCCAGGTTTCAATCTGGTTACTTCTAAATTTCTTTCAACGCCTAAACTAGCTATTTTTACTCATTGAGGGGTGCAGCGGTTCACCATGCATAAACCATGTCCGGGTATTAACAGATTTGGTATTTATGTCCTAAGCCTAACCTCAACGTTACTCACTTAGTCGTTCCACCGTAAACAAGAGATGCTTCAGAACATCTATGAACAAACACTTGTAGCTCCTCACGTTTGTATTTGTTCGAAAATTCACTGAAGAGTTAATATTTGTTTGATACATACACGACCATGCTTAAAATGTGCTTCGTTTACTTGGGTCTGTTGTTCCTAATCTCTATTCAAGTCTTGGCTATTCACGGGAGCTAACATTTTAGACAGTTTTGGACTTATTCCTCTATATTTATCACGAAGAAAGAGGTTTCTGTCCTCATAGACTAAAACTATCGGTGGTGGAGATCAGTTAGATGGGATTTCTCCCATCTAACATATTTTAATTAGTAGATCAGTCAGTTTTTAATGATATCAGATCACTATCACTATCCTTAAATGAGTTTAACCCATAAGGTCCTGTTGTTTTTCTACGCATAATTTTGTTATGGCCTTTTAATCGACTCTGAGTGTCTGAAAGCGTCGGAATAGTGAATAACTGAAGGGTAGCTGGAGACCAGTTAAACTATTGCTTAAATCATTTTGCCTATCGGTCTAATCTTCTGGGTCGAAAGTGAATAATAGTTTTAGTTTTTCTGAGAAAGTTTCACTAACAATCTGATTTTTAATACATGTGTACTTGATGAGTTAGAATAGTTGTCTGGTATTATCGATTGCCTATACCTTTTCCATCTCTTTTGCCTTTGTCGTGCACCACTGTTCACGATCATGACGTAGGCTTTTTCTTTCAGTCTACGTTTAATCTTCCCTCACTCTTTATCGTGTTTTGGAGCCTAATGAGGTGGGTTTCTGAGTAAATGTCAATTCGGTAGACGCTACAGAAATCCACTGATCTTTTCCTTAGGTAATGAGAAGTTAACACTGTCTTCATAATGTCGTAAATTCATTCATATTTTTATTTATATTTTGTAATTTTCTTACTTTTATTTGGAATTTAGGCTCAAACATCCAATGATGTATCTGTTGCACCTGTACAATCTCAGTCATCATCTATGTCTTGTGTATTGGGATGTGGTCAAAAGTTAAATTCAAATAATGACTTGTTATACAAAGCTCGTCAGCTAGGTATTAAAATTCTCTCCTTTGATAGTAAGTTTTAGTCACTCTTGTGTGATATTAAAGCAAATACTTGTATTTATATCAAAATTTCTTTCAAAGGAAACTAGTGTGTGCTCTGCCTCTGCCAGGGAAGTCCTACTCACTGCCTTCTCGTGGCGGGAGTGTTGTTTACGAAAGTGAGAGGACGAAAAGCGAATGTCCGGCGCTTTAACCGGGTTGGTGGACATGGAGGGTCCACCTAGGGGAGTTGGAAAACCCTGATTCCAAACCAATGGTGCACATGGGCTCCAGTATCCTGATGGAACGAATGGCGGACGAACCTGTCAACGGCTACCATGGGACTGCATCTCCTCACGATGCTCCACTGCCTTGTGGACTAGACTTTCAGGTTAAAGGCTCGGGGTGTGGCCTAAGAAAACCACCTGCTTTAGTCTGGGCACCTGTGCAGTATCACAGCCCTCACACAAATCAAATGATATTTGTGAGGCGCATATTTATCTGGTGCTTCCTTGTACCATTATTTATGTGTATAAATAAATAAATAAATAACACTGTTACTATGTTTAGTAGTTCTCTAGAATTTTCAGGAAAACCCAATGACTTCTAAAATATTAAAAAACCCTTTATTTTCTGTACATGAATGAACCTTTGGAGTAAAGTGCTTCCCGCATGTTTTGTGCTTTTTCTCTCGTGTTGAAGTCGCTGTGTAGTTCTAGCTGGGGGGTTACGAGACTGGCTTACGATCCAAGTATAGCGTTCAATCAACAAGATTTATCAAGGTCTATTTAAAATTTTGAGTAATTTTATTTATCGCCATGATTTATCTCCATCTTTCCCGGTTTTTTTATTGTAGCTGTAACGAAATGGATAAAAAACCTCCCATCAGATGTTCAGTCATATATCCAGGTAGATGTCACCTTTGTTGTACTTATATTTATTTGCAACGTTTTTTTCAATACAAAGCCTCTTCCCATTTTTTCAACCATATCCATGATGTTTTATCTTTTCTACTATCTGACCCACTTTTCACCTTTTTTTTTTGCTAATTTCATCTCTCCGTGTTGATAGAGTTTGTCAGCTTTAGCTTGCAAGTTTGTGTACTTGACTTTGAGTTACACATTTTGTATAATGGCTTACCATATTATAAGGATGTTCAAACTAAAGTAGATTCAGTAGGGTTCGATTTAAACGGTGAATGGTTAGTTTACTTATTTTAAAACCTCCTTATCATACTGCTGCTAGTCATAATGTTTAATCCTGTCTTAAATATCTATTATAACTAGCTATTCCGCTTTATATCGCAATCATAATCTTCACTTGCACATGTGACATAATCATTTGATACACTGATATCTGTTAAATATTAATAATGCACAAATCGAAATATCTCAATATTATACCTACCGAAAATAACTGGGTACTAAGATTCACTTTATAAAAACATTTGCTGTGTAGTTGTAAGTGTGATTAATGGGCTGAAGGTCTATGTTACACTTGTAGTTAGTCAAATTAGGCATTTTTTGTTATTTTGTGGTTTAATCAATTATTGCACCGTAGATTTAAACTATTTTATCTCATTATTTTATAGTCTATACAACGAACAGATCATGATTATCATTTGGACAAGTTAGCTAATGATCCAGAGCGTGATAGGATTCATGAAGGTAATTCTTTTAATCTTTGTTCCAAGTACTATGTTTATGTAAAATTTCTTGAATGTTTATTTGACAAGTTGTCTGAATCATCATCATTATCTTTTATTATAAATTATGCTATTTTTAAACTAACTCGTTCTATTCACTTCTCTCAATAAGTAGTAAGTTTTTATTGATGAAAATTAGGTAATATGTTGACACTTAACAGCTTGACTATATTTTGTGCTTAAAGTTCAAATTTTTTCGTTTAATATATCTGATCAATTTGGGTCTAACAAAAATGTTCACAGATAACTTACATTAATTAGATCCTAGTGCCTTTATTGCCTATCTTCACTAGACTATCTTTCTACAGTTATTCAGTGTTATTGACATATATCCAATTGACTTTGTTGTATTTCAGTGTATTTGGTCGAGTAGACTTGCCTTACCAATGAATATTTATATTCATTTACAGCTGAATAATTACTAAACGTTTAGTTTCATGTACTTCGATCGTTACCCTGAGTTCGACCTCTAGACCACTGAGCCGGCATCCAATGGTGTTAACATCTAACTGGGTTCGGGTTCCGCGTGCGGGATCGTGGATGCTCACTGTCGAGGAGTCCCATACTAAAATGAAACAGTCATCTTGTGTCTTCAATTTTCCAATCGTGGTCTAGGATTGATCGGTTCACGATTTCATTATATTTTATTAACTGTCTTCGATACAATCATAGATTCTGGGCAGTATGTCGATAATCGTTAAATCATCAGTAATCTTCAGTCAGAGTACACTACAGTCTAATAGTTGTAATTTTTATAGTACACTATTTAATAAATAAACGAGACAGATAGTTACTTGCCTGTTCTTTTCAATATTCAAAGATACCATTTCACGACAGTCCGTTTCAATGTAAATAACATCATTTTTCTTACAAGTATCTCTTGTCAGAAAACGGCTATTTCATTAAGTGATATCAAATATATCCGCAATTCAGTTGTCATTTTACCTTATGACTACACTTTCTATATAAACGTAGTTAGGATTTTTTAAATTTTTTATGTCAACACGAATTTTATCAATAATACTATTAATTTGACGTGAAGTAATATTGCGTTTTTACTGCGTATTATTAATTTCAGTTCGACATCTCGTGACACCATGTATCAAAGTGATCGATACAAGAAGTCACTACCGACCTATTTATTTAGATAAAACAGACTACTTGCCTGACTTATGGGATCTAACCAATCGTTATAAATCAAAATCAAAGTCCATTCTCGATGTGGGCGTACATGATACTCCATCATCTCCGACTCCAATGACTACGACCAATTCTATGGTTATTATTATTACTACTACTACTACTACTACTACTAATGCTACTGTTACAACAACAACAACAACTACTACTACTACCACTACTGCTACTACTAATGTTAATGGACCGTGTAGTGGTAGCGTCCCGGGAGCAAGCGTTGGCTTTACTCTACAGAATCCAAGTCATTGTATTCTTGGAACAGGCACTCAGTCAATTTTAACACGCATAGATAGTCGAAATAAACGTAAACATCGTCTTAAAAAACATAATACTACTACTCCATTACAACGTACAGCTTCCTTAGTCACTAAAGGAGCGGAAAGGTAGATATTTCTGTTTTTTCTTATTTTACAACACTATTTTGTAGTGACATAAGTAATTGTTTATACGAATATTCGTCAAGATTAGAACGAATAGTTTGACAATAATTGGGCGCCGAGTATAGAGAATTCATTATATGTGAAAAAATTATATTTGAAATAGTCTCAGCGATTAAAATTTAAATAATTCCAACGTTTCGTCCAGCTAACTTGTCTGGACTTCTTCAGGGAAATAATCAAAATCAAAATCATCAAAGAAATATATAGTGTTTTTACAATCATATCAAAATCTCTACTACTTTTTAATCCAATCATATTTGGATGTCGAAGTTTTTGTACAACAGGATAATATGAGACAGTTGAATGAGAATCAAGTGAAAAGTTCAACGATGTGAATTAAAGGAGACTGCATAAATTGTGTGTATGTATGTATGTGTAAGATGAGTTATTAATGATGAATGATATTCAGTGTTGATATGTTTCTATGTGAAGTAAAATAGGAATAAACGTGCATAATGAAGGTTGAAAAGTTTTTCTCCTTTCTGAATCATCGAAGTTGCAAATAAAATGAGAATCATCAAGTACATAAATTGTAATGTTAAACATAATTCATATTGATTTCAGTCATAATAACGATTCATGTGAAGTAAACAGGTTGAATAAAAGAAAAAGGTCAAATTACTTGTTGATGAATATTTGCCAAGTGGTAGCTAGCTGAATACCATCCTTTCTGTTTAGGCTGTTCTTATTCGCCCATATATACAGCGCTTCTGCTGTCAATCTTTCTTTGTGAGTGTTGAAAACTTTCTGAAGTATTTTACTTACTTACTTACTTACTTTCGCCTGTTACTCCCAATGGAGCATAGGCCGCCGACCAGCTTTCTCCAACCCACTCTGTCCTGGGCTTCCTTTTCTAGTTCTATCCAGTTCTTGTTCATTCTTCTCATGTCTGTCTCTATTTCTCGGCGTAATGTGTTCTTTGGTCTTCCTCTTCTCCGTTGACCTTCAGGATTCCATGTGAGGGCTTGTCTTGTGATGCAATTAGCTGATTTCCTCAAGGTGTGCCCAATCCACTTCCAGCGCTTCTTCCTGATTTCTTCCTCTGCTGGAATCTGGTTTGTTGTCTCCCACAGTAACTTATTGCTGATAGTGTCTGGCCATCGGATCCGAAGTATTTTGCGTAGACAGCTGTTAATAAACACTTGTATCTTCTGGATAATGGCTTTCGTAGTTCTCAACGTCTCCGCCCCATACAGTAAAACTGTCTTGACATTTGTTTTGAAAATTCTAACCTTGGTGTTGGTTGACAATTGTTTTGAGCTCCAGACGTTTTTCAGCTGTAGGTATGCTGCTCTTGCTTTGCCGATCCTCGCCCTCACATCTGCATCTGATCCACCGTGTTCATCAATGATGCTGCCCAGATATGTAGAGGTTTCCACATCCTCTAAAGCTTCTCCGTCAAGTGTAATTTGATTGGTGCATATTGTATTGTATCGGAGAGTCTTGCTTTTCCCTTTGTTTATATTGAGACCTACTGCTTCTGAGGCTGCTGCTACACTGGTCGTTTTCTCCTGCATTTGTTGTTGCGTTTGTGATAGAAGAGGCAGATCATCCGCGAAGTCTAAATCGTTCAGCTGCATTCTGCCTGTCCACTGTATCACGTGATTTCCTCCAGACGTTGACGTCTTCATGATCCAGTCGATCACCAGGAGAAAGAGAAAGGCTGAGATTAAGGAACCTTGTCTAACACCGGTCTTTACTTCAAACGAGTCAGTGAGTTGTCCTCCGTAGACGATTTGGCAGTTTAGTCCATCATTGGAGATATGTATGATATTGGCTATCTTCTCAGGCACGCCGTAGTGTCGAAGAAGCCTCCATAGTGTCGTTCTGTCCACGCTATTAAATGCCTTCTCGTAGTCGATGAAGTTGATGTAGAGTGATGAATTCCATTCGATTGATTGTTCCACAATGATACGTAGAGTTGCGATTTGATCTGTGCACGCTCTATCCTTACGAAATCCAGCTTGTTGATTTCGAAGTTGAGCGTCCACGGAATCCTTCATCCTGTTTAACAATACTCTGTTGAAGACTTTTCCTGGTATTGAGAGAAGAGTGATGCCCCTTTAGTTGTCGCACTTGCTCAGATAGCCTTTCTTTGGTATCTTGATGAGAAGTCCTTTTTTCCAGTCTGTTGGTACTTGTTCTTCGTCCCAAATCTTACGGAAGAGGATGTGGAGTATCTTGGCAGTTGCTGTTACATTTGCTTTCAGTGCCTCTGGCGGGATGTTGTCTGGTCCCGCTGCTTTGCCACTCTTGATTTGTCTAATGGCCATGCTGATCTCTTCAATTGTTGTGGGCCAATATCGATTGGGAGGTCCGTGGGTGCTGCTTCGATGTTGGGTGGGTTCAGTGGAGCTGGTCGATTCAAGAGTTCTTTGAAGTGTTCTACCCACCTGTTTCGTTTTTCTTCAATGTCGGTGATTACTTTGCCTTCCTTGTTTTTCACTGGTCTTTCTGGTTGACGGTAATTTCCAGCAAGTTTCTTTGTTGTATCATACAGTTGTCTCATGTTTCCCTCTCTTGCAGCCTTTTCCGCTGTCATCGCTAAATCTTCCACATATTTACGTTTGTCGGTTCTGATGCTCCTCTTCACTTGCTTGTTTGCCTCTGTGTATTCGGCTTGTGCCTTGGCTTTTTCTGCTCTTGTTTGGCTGATATTGATTGCTGCCTTCTTGTTCCTCCTTTCTTCAATCTTATCCAGTGTACCAACAGTGATCCATTCCTTGTGATGGTGCTTCTTTTGGCCCAGAACCTCTTGACATGTTGAAATGATTGCCTCCTTGATACCTTTCCAGTTGTTCTCCATGGTAGTCCCCTCTCCATTGAGTAGATCATGAAAGGCCTGGAACCTGTTGCTGAGGGCTATGTTGAATTTGTTGAATTTGTCAGCATCTCGAAGAAAGGCCGTATGAAACTTTTGTGATGTTGTCCGCGCCATTGTCCAGTGCTTCTTGAGTTTTAGTTTCATCTTGGCGACCAGCAAATGATAATCGGATGCTATATCAGCTCCTCTCCTAGTTCTCACATCCTCCATCGTCCTCCTGAACTTTTTGTTGATGCAGACATGGTCGATTTGATTTTGTGTAGTGTGATCCGGTGAAATGCAAGTGGCTTTGTGTATGTTATTGTGTGGGAATATGGTGCCACCTATGACCAGTTTATTGAAGGCACATAGGTTTGCAAATCTCTCACCATATTCGTTCCTTTCTCCCAGTCCATGTCGTCTCATGACGTCTTCGTATCCAGTGTTGTCCTTTCCAACCTTGGCATTGAAATCTCCCATTAGAATGGTCAGGTCCTTGGTTGGGTACTTCTCGACGATCGACTGCAGCCTATCGTAGAATTGGTTTTTAGCGTCTTCATCGTAGTCGTTGGTAGGCGCATAGCATTGGATGATGTTCATTGTAATGCCCTCTCTCTTTGTTTTGAAGGAGGCTGTGATGATCCTCGGTCCATGAGGTTCCCATCCAATAAGTGCATTTTGTGCTTTTCTGGACAGCATCATTGCAACTCGTTGTGTATGTGGAGCATTTTCTTCTTCATGACGGGAGTATAACAGAAGTTCTCCTGAAGACAGACGTTGTTGTCCAACCTGCGTCCAATGTGTTTCTCTGATTCCAAGAACCTCCAGGTTGTATTTTCTCATTTCTGCAGCAATTTGGAAGACTCTTCCGGTCTCCCACATTGTTCGGACATTCCATGTACCTATAAAAATTGTCGCTCTGGTTGTAAGAAGGTGCATCGGCCTCATGACTTCCGAAGGAACTCGGCTTTCATCATGAGACGTCATAATTATTCCTTCTACTCCCAGGGCAGAGTTTGAATGGTTTGAATGATTTTTTCTGGTTAGCGTTTTCTCAGCGACTTGATTTTCTACGGGATGGGGTCGCTAACACCATGCCCAACCCTCCTCCTTTACCCGGGCTTGGGACCGGCAGTAGCCCCTGGAGGAGTATTTTGGCCCCTTCAAAATTAATCATGTGTCCCGTTTCCAACGCATGTAATGCTATTGCAGACTTATTCTCAAGTTTCTTTAAGTCAACCGAGGTTTTGGGAACGTTTTTTAAACACTGTTTGTGTTCCTTCAACCTTACCTTCAATTGTCTGGATGTTTCTCCAATATAAGCCGCATTACAATCATGACAATTGATCTCATAGACAATATTTTGTTGTTCTTCCTTTGGTAACCTATCCTTAACCTTCACCAATGACAATCTTATAGTGTCACATGTTCTAAAATACATTCTTATATCATGTTTGTTTAAAATCCGTTTGATTTCCTCCGATGTTTCGCTATGGTATGGTATGACTGCAGTGGACTTACAATCTTTCTGTACATGTTGCAGTTTAGCTTTTCTTTCCCTTCTAACAATCTTCTTTAAAAACTCTTTTGGGTAGTTGTTATCCCTAAGTGTAGCTAAAATCCTATTCAATTCAAATTGTTGGTCTTCTTCATCTGTAACAAGCTTCAGACTTCTGTTAATTAAATTTTTAACAACTGTGACTTTCGTACATAAAGCATGCGCCGAATCAAAATCTAAGTATCTATCTGAATGTGTTGATTTTTTTGAAAACATTTATTTTCAACTTCCTATTATTAAGTCTTCGTTCAACCATACAGTCGAGAAATGCCAGTTTGTGGTCATCAGACTCTATTTCCTTCGTTAGATTAATTTGTTCCGAAATGTTGTTCACATTTGTAAACAATTCTTCCAAATAGTCCTGTTTAATGATAACAAAAATGTCATCTACATACCGTAGCCAGACCTTTGGTCGACAAACACTTCTTGCGATTGCACTAGTTTCGAGTGAATGCATGAATAAATTCGCAACAATCGGAGAAACTGGTGAACTCATAGCTATACCTTCTTTTTGTCTGTATAGATCTCCTCGAAATATGAATAAGGTGGACCTTAAACATAGTTCCAAACACTTGATAAACTCAGGTGGATCTAACGGGCAACGTAAATGTAAATCCAAATCAGATTCTAAACAAGCATAAATAATATCCAACGCTCTGTTGATAGGTACGTTAGTAAATAAGGAAGAAACATCAAAACTTGCCATTACTTCTTCTTCTTCTTCTATGTCGATGGTATCAATAATATTTTTAAATTCCATAGAGTTTTTAATTCCATGATTAATCAATTTCTCATACGGTTTTTAGTATTCTAGCTAAGTATTTCGCTAGGTTGTAAGTCGGTGAATTTGTAAAATCGACCACTGGTCTTAGTGGAGTACTATCCTTGTGAATCTTCGGGAGTCCATAGAATCGACAAGGGTTACAACTTTTTGGATTTAGCATAAACCATAAAGGCGTTCCGAGCTTGACCTTTAACGAATGTAAGATTTTACTTGTTTCCGCCTTAAGTTTATTGAGCGTAGTTCTGCTTTTTTCAACTTTGATTAGTTCATATGGTCCCTCTTGTAGATGTTCCTTTGCTTTTTTCTCGTAGTCCAATTTGTTCATGATGACTGTAGTGTTACCTTTATCTGCTTTTGTAATGATAATTGTCTTATCATTTCTTAGTTGCTTTAATGCATGCAACTCATTTTTAGTCATATTAGATTTTTGTGATTTTTGACGTAATAACACGGACATTATCTTATTCCTCAATTCATTCGCTGTTTCATTAGGAAGTATATTCAATGCTGGTTCAATTGCTGGTATAATATTGAAAGACGATAATTGTGGTCTATTTATAGTGAAATTGAGACCCTTTTTAAGTGATGAAATTTCATGGGAGTTGAGAATTATATCAGATAAATTAACTAACACTTTGTTAATATCTACTGTGTTCGATTTATCTCTAGTTTGTTTCACTTTGCTGTTTGACGCATGTTTCAACATTTTTTCGAACTTTCTAATCTGTCGTAGTTTTGATGATTGATGTTAAAACTGTTCTCTGAGTTTGAAAAATTCTTTTATATTAGATTTTATTTTTTTCGGTGTGATAACGGACAGAATTTCATCGATATTCTTTACCCTTGAACGTAGTGACTCCAAATTCATAGTGGCTATGTGAATACGTTCCCTGATAAAAGTTCTAGTGGCTGTGATCGCCGCTTTGATTGAACGAATAGATTTGTCAGGAGATTTGACCATCAAAGATTTAGGAAAAACATTTTGTTTTAAACATCGTAGATTAAAAATTCTATGATTGTATTATGTATTTTCTTTGATAATTTAATTCGATTGGAAAATAATTTATACGAATATTCGTCAAGATTAGAACGAATAGTTTGACGAATAGTTTTTATTTATTTATTTATTTAAACACATATATATTGGTACAAAAGGGCACCAGCTACATATGCGCCACACAAAATAATTTGTGTGTGGCCTGTGATACTGCCCAGGTGCCCAGACTGAAGCAGGTGGTTTTCTTAGGGGACCACACCCCGAGCCTTTGACCTAAAGGTCTGATCCACAAGGCAGTGGAGCATCGTGAGGAGATGCAGTCCCATGGTAGCCGTTGACCAACAATAGGTTCATACGCCATTCGTTCCATCAGGATACTGGAGCCCATGTGCACCATTGGTTTGGAATCAGGGTTTTCCAACTCCCCTAGGTGGACCCTCCATGTCCACCAATCCGGTTATAGCGCCGGACATTCGCTTTTCGTCCTCTCACTTTCGTAAACAACATCCCCGCCACGAGAAGGCAGTGAGTAGGACTTCCCTGGCAGGGGCTATATATTCGCTGGCCATGTGAGAGCATTTCGAGAGGGAGAGTAGACTCTCCCCACTCTCGGCCGTACCAGGGCATTTGGGAACTTTACCAGGGCATTTGGGGGCATTGTGTTTTTTAGGTAAATACTGACCAGGTAAGTTACATTGAGACTAAGTCAAGAGTGCTAAATAGAGATCGGGAATCGGTAGATGATTCTTTGAACTTTCATCGACGTAGCTGGTTAGGCGATGTGTTAAACATTCCCAGTAATTGGATATCGTAAGTTGGACGACATTGGAGTAAGGTAAAAAAAAGTTGTTGCAGACAGACCAAAAACATCATAAGTTTGTGTAGTCATTGACTATTGTTATGTGTTTTATTGAGATACTCTAGACAATAGTTGCTTATGACTAAAAAAATTTGTTGACATGGTCTAAAATGGAATGGAGGTGTATTCATTCTTTAACTTGCTCTAGATCTCAAGTTTTATTATTACCGTATACTATTTATCCGGCGATTTCATTCATTTCTCTATAAATGTACAGACTATTTCATTTTAAAGCTACTACTAATATTATTATGTTGGCCTTTTTTCTTGCCAAAGTTCTTTCACTATGCTACTGAGAAGTGTGATAACTTTAGCCAAAACACATTTTACTTTGTCCCATTTTCGCTTATAGGTGTGACTGACACTCTTGGTAACATGTTAGCCGTGATCAGTTGTGTGCATCAATGTTTGACTTACACTGTCTTCATCAATTTGAATGAAACAAGTTTTGAACAAGTAAAATGTACATTACACATTCGGTTTGCCAATTACATTTTAGTTATTCTTGATTCTCTCATCTATCAGATAGGTGGAGCTCGATTGTAAGAAGTGTGTATATCAATGTCTGAATCGTATGACTGCAGAACGTAACAGAAAACCACACTATAAGTTGGTAGGTGGTCTACTTAATGAGAGTTATCCGTTTGACGAAGGTCAACCCTCACATATCTTTGTCAAAGTCAGTCAGGACACATAAGTCTGAAAGTGTTGTAAGCATCATTTGTTCCGTTCTTGGCAAAATATCTCCCACGTAGTCTTTAGCTTCCTCTCTCTATATAGTGGGGTTTTTAAGAGTATGAAAATCATGAATCATCGGTAACCAAATCGGACTTGGGAATGTAACACAGTGGTTATACTTCCTATCTAATTTAGTGAGTAAACGAAACTCACGGCCTTTTTTCTTCCGTGCATTATCATCAACCCCTATGCTGCAATCCACGGACTAATACTTTGAAATACAACCATTGTGTATTATTGCACAACTAACCCAGTAGTAATATTTTCTTTAAAATCTCCGTTAGTATATGAATACAGTGGGATGTGCAAACAAAAGTACCAGTCTTTAATCAGTAGATAGTAATTAAACTGTTTTGTGTGATTTTCATTTTATTATTGTAGTAATCCGAAAGCTTCTTCGACTACTGCTGCTATCAATGATGAACCATCTGGCTACTGTGAATGTTGTTCTACGAATTTTAAGAGTTTGTTTGAGGTAGGTTAGCTAGCCCCATTGTAAATAGTGATAATTATAGCATCTGACTCCAATATAATTTGATTTAAAATCAATGACTGTTTTTCTTCGTACATAATGCAGTTGATAGTTTGGTATTGATAACGAGTGCCCATCATGTATATTTCTTGTCTTTATGTAACAAACTATTGATGTGCTTCTCTTTACATTGGTTGAATGGGACATCCGAAAATAATGATAATCAGTCATCGGTTTATTCTAACAATCTGTCTTTTCGTATTTGACGAATATGACTTGTATGTATCCCCAAGGTTAAATTTAGAAATTACTTACCCATCAAGGATCAATCCCATATTCCCAAATAAAGTTGGAAGTGATCTGGTGCTAATCTAAATAAAGTGTTTAAAAATGAGAATTCAGCGAAGAGAATTTTCTTCTTGATGAACTCATTTACTTAAGCCGTACATTTGTATTGATAGTTGTTTGGTAAGTTATTTTAATTATCTAACCTGAACAAGCAAGTCAGTTGATTTGTTCACATGTGACTAACATACAATAGCTCAAATGATATGTTGTGTTCTGTCCGAAAAAAAGTGAATACGCTGTCGTGTTTCATACTCAAATGATCAATCCTTCATAAAGATTAGTGTTGGGATTCGTTGGGTTGGTAAACTTTCTTAAGGGAATGTGAGACAGATGATCAGTTAAGTAACTTTTAATGGTGGATTATGAGATCGGATCATTATTATCACTTTGAATATAGACTGTTCTATGTTTCTTTTAGTTGATAGCCGTTTGCAGTGAGCCTTACATTGTTTCTAATCATGAAGATATGCATTTACAACCGTAATAATGTATTCTGTTTGTTAAGGACGTGAACCTTCTGCATCACGATAACGGACAAAAAATTGGTTCATTAACTAGGTTTATGTAATTAAGGTCTTCACTATAATATTCGGTACGGATTTTAAAAATGTTCTTGCACTTTAAGTATTCTTATGAATAAAACCGATGTACGTCTTAGTTTTTCAGTCGACCCCATGATTGCTTTCATTTTTGGTAAGGTAGGTCTAAGTCTTAATATCGAATTATCTAGCTCATATTTTTGAAAATAATCCCAAAAACGTCATTCCACGTATTCATCATTTTCATGTGTTCAATAATTTTTCTGGTTAGCGTTTTTTTTAGCGAGTTGGTTTTCTACGGGATGGGGTCGCTAACCCCATGCCCAACTCTCTTCTTTTACCCGGGCTTGAGACCGGCAGTAGCCCCCGCAGGAGCTACAGGCGGAGTTATTTTCATGTGTACTTCAATAAAATTAACATATTTTGGACATCGATAACTTGCTACGGGTTCTTAACAAATGGATGCATGAAATTTACTTTCTGTTTCGAAAACCTAATACATATCACTCATATTTATGACGCTTCATTTGATTATTAAGTGTATAGTTTGTCACTGATTTTTCGTCTGGAACTAAATCGTTTCTTATATAGAACTACAAGCTTCTTGATTTAGGCTTTAACTGATCAGTTTGAAACTTTCAGTAATTGAGTTCAAATTATATCACATATTTATATGTCAGACTACTTTTTAATCGCAATTTTGTAATATGTTCAGAAGGGGTTTTGTGGGGATTTCAGTATTTTTCCAAAGTTGAAATCATGAGTCATTTGAAGCTAGACGATCATATGCTCACTAGTGACTGACTTCAAGATACATGTCCTGGGGTTCTAGTGCGAAGCAGTGACCAGTGGAGTTCAACCATATCTGTTGTGAGTTAACAACTCACTGAAGACAATTGGTGAATGGTTGCTCAAAAATTCGTGGATCGGTTGAAGTTAGACATTAATATCGTTGGGTACCGGCTCAGTGGTCTATCGGTTAAGGACTCTTGCTCGAGACTGGTAGGTCCTGGGTTTGAATCTCGCGAGTGCAGGATCGTGGATGCGCACTGATGAGGAGTCACATGGTAGGACGAAACGGCCGTCCAGTGCTTCCATGGTGGTCTAGCTTCAATTAACTCATGATTTGAACTTTATAATATGTATTTCATCAAGGGACTGAATCGTCGTTATTTCGTCTTATTTCTTAATTTTAGCATTTGCATTGTACAGATCATCAGCAATTTGCTAATAATTCTGAAAATTATCGTCTTCTCGATGATGTTCTAAATAAACTGCCTACATTAAAAGAGTTTTTAACAAAAACTACATCAACCACTTCGCAACTACCATCTTATTTAAATCCTATTGCAATAAGTCCTTGTGATTCTCAACATGAAAAAGATTACCTCTTTAATACTTCCAAGTGTGAAATGTTACAAAAAGAAAATATACCTCCCACTCAAACAAAAATTAATGAAAGTATTGAGTAAGTTTATGAGTTCACTAATTTTACTCATTCTTAAAACAAAACATACTTTTGTATGGAATAGTTACATATATTCATAAACCCGATAAAATCCGACGTGCATGTTTATTTTTTACTACTAGTTGTTCGATTGAATCGAACCAACCACATTGACGTGGAATGTCAGTTACGCCATAAATTAACATGTTATTGTCGGGTACGGATCAGTAATTAATCATTCAGACAAACTTTATTTGATGGAGGCTTCATCTTTTGGAAACAGTTCACGAAAATAATTATGATCGAAGTAGTCATTCCCATTAATACAATACATCATCATAGGTTAAATATTTAATTGTTTGTGTTTCAGTTACTTATGTTATCGCCCCAAAATGCCCTGGTACGGCCTAAAGTGGGGAGAGTCCGCTCTCCCTCTCGAAATGCTCTCATATGGCCACGCGTATATAGCCTCTGACAGGAAAGTCCTACTTAGTACCTTCTCTCAGCGGGGGTGTTATTTACGAAATTGAGAGGACGAAAAGCGGACGTCCGGCGCTTTAACCGGGTCGGTAGAAACGGAAACTCCACCTAGGATAGTTGGAAAATCCTGATTTCAAATCAATTGTGCACATGGGCTCCAGTATCCTGAGAGAACAAATAGCGTATAAATCAATCGTTGGTCACCGGCTACCATGGGACTGCATCTCCTCACGATGCTCCACTGCCTTGTGGATCAGATCTTTGGATCAAAGGCTCCGGGTGTGGTCCCCTAAGAAAGCCACCTGCTTCAGTTTGCGCACCTGGGCAGTATCACAGCCCTCACACAAATCAAATGAGATTTGTGCGGCCCATATGTATTCGGTGCCCCTTTGTACCATTATTTATGTGTTCAAATAAATAAATAACTTATGTTATCTCACATCTATCAAATGTAAAAGTAAACAAATTAAGAAGCTTTCAGCCTTAAGTAAAAAACCACTGAACTGTTTTTATTGATGCTAATGTGTATCCAATGTCTAAATCAATGCGATTTATAAGTATCTGATGAGTACAGTCTTTTACTCTTTTTTTTCACTATGTATTCGATTTGTCACTAACTGTAAATTTCCTTCCAACTTCTATTATAGACCTGTCTTTGTCTCACAGAAATTACAACCCACATTAAATGACTATGAAAATATTTCTAAAGAAATCAATGTTCCTCCAATATTAAACTTTTCTGGACCACTTGGACCCAATGAGTTTACAGAAGGAGGTTCAGATATATTCAGTAATACTGATTTAGATGTTTGTGAAATATCAAAGACCACCACTGTTGTAAATAATGACGTGGAACAAATATCTAAGTTAGATCAAGAAGAGGCTGCATTTCTTTTTTTGCTTTAATTCAATATTAAAGAAATCCCTATTTTTCTATTCACTTTTTTTTAAAAAAAGGTTCTCAATTTTCAACTATAAGTGCTTTCATCATAATGTCAAGAGAAACTATTTGTAGAAATCAATTTCAAAGGATTAAAAAGTTAACAAAATGTCATGACACAACTGGATTAAATTCCCAATCATGTTTTTCGTCCCATGCGATGATGAATTAACATTAAATTATGCCCAGTAACATTTTTTGTACGATGATGTATATATATACTCAGCAATCTGTATTTCAATTTGATAACTTTTAATTTCTCTTGAATGTATCAAGTAAAGTGTATGCAAAAAATATCCTAGATAATGGAAATTACTTTTCTTTGAATGTTATGACTCACTAGCTAGGTACAGTTTTACTTACTAGGCAATAGGTTATTGCTTAATTCGAATTATGTCAGAGTGGAAAGACTACTATTACTGTTATATTTTAAGCTTCAAGTGAGACGAAGATTCATCAGTAATGTACTGCTAATTAGACAAGAATATGGCAATAGTCAGTCACGACCTACGTAGGGCTTGGTATAGATGTGCGTCAGCTCAAGCTGTCATTAAAAAATCAGTATGAGATGAAACTAATAAAACGAAACAATAGTAGTACCAGTGATAGTGATTAAAACTATAATTTAATTTGAAATAGTTATAAAGTAATATATGCATAAAGACGATGATGCAGACCAATCTTCAAGCAATTGAGGAGGAGAAACGTATTTCAAACATGTCTGGGTCGTTGTTCCACGGGTTCTGATGAATTCATATATTCACCGTCCTCAGTAAACATTCGGAGAGTTTCCTGTAAAACAGGCAACATTAACAAATACCAGTTGAATCCGACGATTTCAATGACAGATCACTCTTAAGTTCTGACTCAATTCATTGTTCATATAAAGAGACTTCAAAAACCATACCTGCTTATTCGGGACACCTATTAATGATGAAAACTGCCTCAAGATCCTAGCCAAAAGAGCGGACACTCTCATTACTGTTAAGAAATACAACTTCAGTCGTGTATTGGCAAGTATGTATATGTTTCGTGGATATGGTCCAACCGACCTGCATTAGATTTTTTTGCAGATCTTATGTATTTTTTCCTGCTATTTCATCTCCTGAATTGCTGCCTTATCCTGAGAAGAAAAGGGTTCAAGAAATCTGGGAAACAATCAAACCCGGTTGATTGGAAGTAACGGACAATTTGGCATCACTGATTGTCATTTGTTCAAGTGTACCGCTGATAAATTCTAACAAACGTGCCCTGAATTATGGTAAATAGACTACCAAAACTATCCCTTATGTAAGGCAACTACTATGTGAATTCCGGCACATATATAATGGAATAATATTGATTGAATAATTGAGATTTATTTATGATCTTAGTCACCTTACTTGACTATACTCATATTACCTCATTTGTTTGCGTAACCTTTGTGAATAAATTATTTCACTAGATATTTACAATGCTACACTGAAAAGACAAGCTGGGCAAAGAAATATTTTCTTCCAACTAGCTCTTCAGTAATATAAGTTTTACAAATGAGTTTAATAATCTTGTTATGTAACTTCCACTCCGCCTGTCCTACTAATTATTTATCATTAATTTCACAGTTAAAAACAACATTTACACCCAGTTTCAATTCCTGCTCTTGGAAAAAACTACTTGGAATAAACAAGTGATTATGAAAACTCACCTTAGTTTTAATTTTCCAAACGTTGCGTAGCCAACTGATTAGTATGTTGTTAAGATGACTGATCTAATTGGTATCAACTTTCTACTCATTTACAAAACATATATATTAAGTGTGGAGTCCTGATGAGGAACTAGTTGAAAAGAAATATTTTCCCCACCCCTCCTTGTGGGAAGGCAGCATCGCTGTCATGCTGGTTGTCTGAAGGAAACACCTTACTGCCTTCACACCTCTGTACAGTCAGCAGTACGACTTCGGACCTTGGGATTGCTGCTTTTAGTCTCACCGCTCTTCAACCGACCTGTCTGGCATGGTAGGACCTCGAGGAACGATTGTTCCAGCCAGCATAGCTCGATTGGATCATCACGATAGGCAAGCCCGACCACCACGTCAAGGTAGCAGCAACGGCCGGGGACTGACTGACTGATTTTCCTGCTCAACTTGTTTTTATTATAAATTATTTGTAACTTTCATCATTCTTGGCACACAACAGGGATTCCAATATTACGGTCCGTAATCATTATAATTCACTCATGAACAAAATGTAAAGAGAAATAGTCATGATAATCAAACGGCTCGACTTTCCCAAACAAAATTTGTCACTGTAACCGTGTTAATAACCCTAAGCCAAAGTAAATGCATTACGCTCTCATATAAATAAGTAGTAATTAATTACTAGAAAGTGAGCAGACACACCTTTTTTTGGTGAAGGTAGAAATCAGACACTAATTCCTATGGAAAAACTTTCTATTTGAATAACATATGAAAACAAATTCGTAAAAAAAGACAATCAGTGTAACTAGAAACAAAATTGAAAACGAAAAAAGGAACTAAATCCAAACGAAAACACGATATTGATCACAGAAAGCTGAAAGAGAAAATTCCAAAGACGTTCATGATCATCAAATACATGATACGGAACATATTTAACAACAGAATTAGCAGCAAGCACTCATAGAAAGAGAGTTGTTCAAAAAACTTGTTTGACATGGTTAAACCAGTACTTGTTTATGACTTGATTCGCCATTATTCATAACATTATCATTGTCTTCACTAATGTCGTCGTTTTCAGTTGTATTTTGAATGTGTTGAGAAGCAGCCGAGAATAACAATAACGATTCAGACTTAAAATGTATGCCTGACTGACGTCGTACAACGGACCAAACATATGGTATGAAAAATTCATCTGGAGATTCTTCTTCTACATATTTAAATTTCAGATCTGGGAATTTCTGGGGCACAAAAAGTAGAATACAAAGAACATGTATAAGCTAGGAGAGGAAAACATGAAACTAATTCACGTTATTTTATGAGGGTGACTTACACTCTTATTTATATGTTAATAGAAGTCTATGATCTGACTAGTTGGTGAACAAATACTGATATAACCAAGTTTTATAGTAGATGAGTCACTAATTATCAAGCAAAACCAGTTCCGATTCTCACCTATATACTGGGGATGAAAGATGTGGCGGCACTAAAAATAAGCCTTCCTGTTGCTTAATTAGTTTCACACAAAGTCTCCAACCGTTTGTTACGATAGTCGCGCGGATCCTAACCAGGTAGTCTGCATCTGCCAACACGGCTCAGACCGGAAGTTAGTGTCTTCAATCACTGATGCCACGTTTTGGTTTGGCCGCCCCTAACTCTTTTCCAACCATCCCCTACACTAGTCAGCATAGCGCGTCGTGGTAATCGGAGTTCAGGCATACGTAACACGTGGCCTAACCTTCTCAGTCGATGAAGATTTACAACCTCATCAACTGATTTACCACTATTCCCTAACCTCACTGTTTCTTAACAAGTGGTCCCAGAAGATGTGAGCAATATTTCTAAGGCATCTGTGATTGTCAGACACCAACCTGTTAGGGCTGATCAGATTTCCAAGATAAGTGAAGTTGTCGACGCGTTCGACTACTTCACTCCCTATGCTTAGTTCAGGTGTTGACGCAGGGCAGTCCTGGAATAACAGTTTACATTTAGAGGGGGAAAAACGCATTCTAAATATCCTGGGATTGTTACTCAATGTTATCAAAAGACTGCGTTTTATCAGCATCTTCACAAAACAGGACTATGTCATCTGCGTATTCTAAGTCGCTTAGTGGACCCCGTGGTAGGAGAATAATTCGTGAAAATCAAGTCGACGAGAACGTTATTTCCAGCAGTAAGTCTATGATGAAGTTGAACAAAAATGGAGATAGTGGACAACTTTTTAAGGAGTCGTTCAGCCGAACAACATATAGACGACTGTTAACGATAATCCACTTTATTAGTGCTTTTTCTACCCTCGTACTCAGTGATATGTCTGAAGCTGACAGTCCACGAGAACAAGCCATAGGGTTGACAGATACACGAAGGGTGTATTTCGTCGGCTCTCCATTTTGGCGAGGTGAGGTAAAGTGAATGACCACACTAGGATGCTGTATGTGCGTTTTGAAGACACAGCATATATCAATGGTACAATATTCTAGGGTTTTAAACAAGGAGGCCTGCTGGCCAACTTGACATAAGGTGAGTACGTTGAAGGCTCGAATGCGTAGTTTGGAGCGGGGTTTCAGTAGACCTGGGACAGTGTTTCATGCACTGGAATCCTTGACCATGGTGACATTTAAGGAGGAAGTTTAGGATTGAAATTCGATGTAAGAGGAATAATAGGAATTGAATAAGGAGACTGGTTATGAATACAGTAATCTTGAGTACATGCGACCTTTTCTAAACCTACTCCTCCTTGTGGGAAGGCAGCATTGATGTTTTGTTGGCTGTCTGAGGGAAGCACCTTACTACCGTCACACTTCTGTACAGTTAGCAGTACGACTTCGGACCTTGGGTTTGCTGCTTTTAGTCTTACCGCTCTTCAACCGACCTGTCAGGCATGCTGGGACCTTGAAGAACGATTGTTACAGCCAGTATAGCTCAATTGGTTCATTACGATAAGTAAGCCCGGTCACCACGTCAGGGTAGCAGCAACGGTCAGGATTGCCAAGAGAAACGTTGGATTTAGCCGAAATCCATTCACTGAGATTTTAGAAACACGTTCTTTTTCCTTAATGTCTTACATCAACTCAAAGCCAAAATATTGTGTAACTATTCGTTTAAATTTATACGAAAGTTGTTACAAATGATTGTGTTGTGTAGTTACGACAGATTTACAATAGATTTTTAATGAATTACATGGGCGACTAATTGTGACCAGAAAAGGTAATTTTAATTGATTACAGTCTTCACATTTTGAAACGAAGCGAATATCAATTGTATGAAAATCCCAAATTTCATTGATTGTTAGCTATCTGTTTCTACTTTTTACTTCGGTCATGGACTTCATTTTCATTTAAAGTAGACAAAGATTAAAAACATGAACAATTATAATTTTATTCAAAGTAATTAGTACTATTTGTTAAATTACTTTCAGATTGCAACTTCTTTGAGTATTACCAATATGTTTTATAATCACTTGCATAACAGCCTGTGGTTGAGTTGGTTGAGGTCCTAATTCAGATTCAATTTTCTTTGAAAAATGCGTTAAAACAATATCAATGTTTTGTAGCACATTCTAAAATTTCAAAGAATCACGGACATAAACGAGCTTATCATTAAGAAAATGAAAAGTGATTATTATCTAGACCATTGAATCAAGGAACTCCGCCTGTAGCTCCTCTGGGGGTTACTGCCGGTCCCAAGACCGGGTAAAGGAGGAGGGTTGGGCATGAGGTTAGCGACCCCATCCCGTAGAAAATCAACTCGCTAAAAAAACGCTAACCAGAAAAAATCATTCAAACCATTCAAACTCTGCCCTGGGAGTAGAAGGAATAATTATGACGTCTCATGATGAAAGCCGAGTTCCTTCGGAAGTCATGAGGCCGATGCACCTTCTTACACCCAGAGCGACAATTTTTATAGGTACATGGAATGTCCGAACAATGTGGGAGACCGGAAGAGTCTTCCAAATTGCTGCAGAAATGAGAAAATACAACCTGGAGGTGCTTGGAATCAGAGAAACACATTGGACGAAGGTTGGACAACAACGTCTGTCTTCAGGAGAACTTCTGTTATACTCCGGTCATGAAGAAGAAAATGCCCCACATACACAAGCTGTTGCATTGATGCTGTCCAGAAAAGCACAAAATGCACTTATTGGATGGGAATCTCATGGACCGAGGATCATCACAGCCTCCTTCAAAACAAAGAGAGAGGGCATTACAATGAACATCATCCAATGCTATGCGCCGACCAACGACTACGATGAAGACGCTAAAAACCAATTCTACGATAGGCTGCAGTCAATCTTCGAGAAGTGCACAACCAAGGACCTGACCATTCTAATGGGAGATTTCAATGCCAAGGTTGGAAAGGACAACACTGGATACGAAGACGTCATGGGACAATATGGACTGGGAGGAAGGAACGAAAACGGTGAGAGATTTGCAAACCTATGTGCCTTCAATAAACTGGTCATAGGTGGCACCATATTCCCACACAATAACATACACAAAGCCACTTGCATTTCACCGGATCACATTACACAGAATCAAATCGACCATATCTGCATCAACAAAAAGTTCAGGAGGACGATGGAGGATGTGAGAACTAGGAGAGGAGCTGATATAGCATCCGATTATCATTTGCTGGTCGCCAAGATGAAACTAAAACTCAAGAAGCACTGGACAATGGCGCGGACAACATCACAAAAGTTTCATACGGCCTTTCTTCGAGATGCTGACAAATTCAACAAATTCAACATAGCCCTCAGCAACAGGTTCCAGGCCTTTCATGATCTACTCAATGGAGAGGGGACTACCATGGAGAACAACTGGAAAGGTATCAAGGAGGCAATCATTTCAACATGTCAAGAGGTTCTGGGCCAAAAGAAGCACCATCACAAGGAATGGATCACTGTTGGTACACTGGATAAGATTGAAGAAAGGAGGAACAAGAAGGCAGCAATCAATATCAGCCAAACAAGAGCAGAAAAAGCCAAGGCACAAGCCGAATACACAGAGGCAAACAAGCAAGTGAAGAGGAGCATCAGAACCGACAAACGTAAATATGTGGAAGATTTAGCGATGACAGCGGAAAAGGCTGCAAGAGAGGGAAACATGAGACAACTGTATGATACAACAAAGAAACTTGCTGGAAATTACCGTCAACCAGAAAGACCAGTGAAAAACAAGGAAGGCAAAGTAATCACCGACATTGAAGAAAAACGAAACAGGTGGGTAGAACACTTCAAAGAACTCTTGAATCGACCAGCTCCACTGAACTCACCCAACATCGAAGCAGCACCCACGGACCTCCCAATCGATATTGGCCCACAACAATTGAAGAGATCAGCATGGCCATTAGACAAGTCAAGAGTGGCAAAGCAGCGGGACCAGACAACATCCCGGCAGAGGCACTGAAAGAAAATGTAGCAGCAACTACCAAGATACTACACATCCTCTTTAGTAAGATTTGGGACGAAGAACAAGTACCAACAGACTGGAAAAAAGGACTTCTGATCAAAATACCAAAGAAAGGTGATCTTAGCAAGTGCAACAACTACAGGGGCATCACTCTTCTCTTAATACAAGGAAAAGTCTTCAACCGAGTATTGTTAAACAGGATGAAGGATTCCGTGGACGCTCAACTTCGAGATCAACAAGCTGGATTTCGTAAGGATAGATCGTGCACAGATCAAATCGCAACTCTGCGGATCATTGTGGAACAATCAATCGAATGGAATTCATCACTCTACATCAACTTCATCGACTACGAGAAGGCATTTGATAGCGTGGACAGGACGACACTATGGAAGCTTCTGCGACACTACGGCGTGCCTGAGAAGATAGTCAATATCATACGGAACTCCTATGATGGACTAAACTGCCAAATCGTCCACGGAGGACAACTCACTGACTCGTTCGAGGTAAAGACCGGTGTTAGGCAAGGTTGCCTACTCTCACCCTTTCACTTTCTCCTGGTCATCGACTGGATCATGAAGACGTCAACATCTGGAGGAAATCACGGGATACAGTGGACAGGCAGGATGCAGCTTGATGATTTAGACTTCGCGGATGATCTGCCTCTTCTATCACAAACGCAACAACAAATGCAGGAGAAAACGACCAGTGTAGCAGCAGCCTCAGCAGCAGTAGGTCTCAATATAAACAAAGAGAAAAGCAAGACTCTCCGATACAATACAATATGCACCAATCAAATTACACTTGACGGAGAAGCTTTGAAGGATGTGGAAACCTTTACATATCTGGGCAGCATCATTGATGAACACGGTGGATCAGATGCAGATGTGAGTGCGCGGATCGGCAAATCAAGAGCAGCATATTTACAACTGAAAAACATCTGGAGCTCAAAACAATTGTCAACCAACACCAAGGTTAGAATTTTCAATACAAATGTCAAGACAGTCCTACTGTATGGGGCGGAGACGTGGAGAAATACGAAAACCATTATCCAGAAGATACAAGTGTTTCTCAACAGCTGTCTACGCAAGATAGTTCGGATCCGATGGCCAGACACTATCAGCAATAAGTTACTGTGGGAGACAACAAACCAGATTCCAGCAGAGGAAGAAATCAGGAAGAAGCGCTGGAAGTGGATTGGGCACACCTTGAGGAAATCAGCTAATTGCGTCACAAGACAAGCCCTCACATGGAATCCTGAAGGTCAAAGGAGAAGAGGGAGACCAAAGAACACATTACGCCGAGAAATTGAGACAGACATGAGAATAATGAACAAGAACTGGGTAGAATTAGAAAAGGAGGCCCAGGACAGAGTGGGTTGGAGAAAGCTGGTCGGCGGCCTATGCTCCATTGAGAGTAACAGGCGTAAGTAAGTAAGTAAGTATTGAATCAAGGAATAATAATCATTAGTGAAGTTAGAATAATGATAATCTATTGGTTATGGTCCTGATAATTAGGCAGATGCTTGTTTAGAGTGGAATGGAATATTCAGATACTAACCACATGAGTTTTAGTACAGCGAAGAAGTTAGTCAGTCTTATGCAACATAAGCTACTTATTTATGCCTGTTATCCTTTGTGTCGGAGTATAGGCCACCCATCAGCATTCTTCGTCTAACTCTGTCCTGGAAAGTCCTTTTCACTTGCTATTTAACCCAATCATACTTGACGGAAAAGCTCTGGAACAAGTGGAAAAGTTTACGTATCTGTTCGATATCATCGATGAACAAGGAGGATCCGATAGAGACGTAAGGGCAAGGATCGGTAAAGCAGGGGTATTATTCCTACAATTGAGGAACATAAGGAACTGAAAACAACTGTCAGTCAACGTCTAAGGCACAATCGTCAATACGAACATCAAGACAGTTCTACCGTACGGAGCTGAAACTTGAAGAACTAACACTGTGGTGTGTGTACTGATGTCAACAAATATAAGTAGCATGCATCAGCAATTGAAAGTGAGATTATTATTATTACCATTAGCTTTATTCAATATTATATTTTTGTGCAATATAGAATCCTCAAAACAATGTATTTCAACAAGTTTCGTTTCTTCCTTCTTGATTGATCCTGTCGACAAATATTGAGTGGTCCACAGTTATAAGTCAGCAGTCCAGTCAATCCACATCTAAATAATACACATTCTTTTCGTTGAATATTGCCAGTAACCACGATATCTCTGATTGGGCCTTTTGTAACTTGCACAACGAAAGGTTGTACACTCTTCAGAAACGCACATGAATAGGCTATGCGATTAATAGCCACAATGATGTAATAACACAAACAAAATTAGAAAACATGTTGAAATATCTAGATAGAAGGATTAGGTGGCCCAGATGTTCAAGCAGGTCGTCTGAAGGCAGAAGGTTAAGAAGATCGAAGAAAAAAGAACAAGAACAGAGAATGATTGCTGTTGAAAAAAAGGAACAATGAGGTCTGACACGATTGATTGACATTTTGCAAATAAAGTATTTACTGTATGGTTCTCAGATTTTATTAAGATGCCCTGTAATTTTCTATTGAAATACATTCGATTGTCTTCACTTGTGCTCTCGTTCACTACACCACAACCATCATCAAACATCTACAAGTATATAAAAAAAATTGTCTACGCAAAAGATATCCGTCATCCAGATACCATCAGCAAAAGCTTATTGTGGCAGAGAACAAACCAACTTCCATCTGAAGAAGAAATTAGGTAAAAACTCTGGAGGTGCATAGGATATACATTGCGGAAATCATCAAACTGCGTCACGAGAAAAACACTAACTAGGAATCCTGAATGGAAACTGAAAAGAGGAAGGAAAAAGAACACACTGAGGGGAGAATTGGAAGCAGACATCAAAAGGATGAATAGAAACTGGAAAGGATTGCCCAGGACAGAGTTGGATGGAGAATGCTTATGGGCGGCCTATGCTCCTGCACGAGGGATAACAGTTGCACCTTTGATACTATCCAAGGAACACCAGTTCCAATTTTATATGGCAGAAAAACGGTCTATACACGTCTTCTTAATTTAATTACATAAATAAATGTTGTGAAAAGTTGTGTTGTCAGTATTGAAATATCTTATAACTAAATCTATCGCTTAATTTCAGCATCCAAACAAATTTCCTTTAATAAGCAAAGTTGATAGTGAGGTTATTGAAGAAAATAAAGTCGACTAGAACAGTGAGTAGTTGTCACCTTTTGATATTTCTGGATGAGTTTGTGTATGTGTTATAATAGTAACTCTTTCGCAACAACTACTACTATATAACCTGAAAAAGATCAAATATAAACATAATGGAAAATCCAATTCTATGAAGAACTCTAACCTGAAATGATGGATGTGAACGAAGTGATGCAAATGAATCCCTTTTATACAATAGAGAATAAATTAAATCTGGATTCGATACCATCGTATGCGTAAGAATTGAATTAATAATTTCTAACAGCATTCGAATTACTTCTTCAAGTAAGGCTAACTCTTGAACCTATAAAAAACAAACATTGGTTTCAGGTTATCGTAAAGAAGGTAGCAACTGAAAAATTATTAGAGATAGATAAAAAAATTTTGTGATAGGTCATTTTTAAATTAACGTTTATTTATTTATTTAAACACATGCATATTGGTACAAAAAAGCACCAGATACATATGCGCCACACAAAATAATGAAAATAGGAAGAGAAAGGATGAAAAAAAGGGGGACTCAAATGTACAACCAGAAGACTCTTTCAGTTAAGAAAGTAAGAACCACTCTTTATGAAGAAAGTAAAAGAAGGTTACAACAGGCTCGCCACTGGCTTCTATTCTGAGACATATCTGATAACTCATTACGATATGAAATTAACGTTATTATTAATTGTTTCGCTGTAAGGAATTAATCAAAGACCATTACACACGTTGAACTACAAATACAGGAGGCTTAATGATGAAATTCAACTTAAAACACACACACACACGGAGTTAGTAGTTTTGTGAAGAATTTTGTGATTGGACAACTGTATTATGCTAGATATAATGATTGTGAAAATAAGTCACAAAACGACACAATAATGATGGTGGATAAGAAACGCTTTAACCAGTGAGAAAAAAATTAAAGGGAAAACTGACATTCGTAAATATAAAACAATAAAATTCCGTTTTGTTTAGCTTGTTTTGTGCTTTAAGGAGATACAAAAGTTTATTCTTTGAATTCCGAATGACTTAACAAGGTCAGACTTTAACCGAAAATGATATTTCAACCTACTACTGATAAGATTTTCTAACGTTTCGTGACTCCGCGTAAGCCACTTCTTCAGAGAATAAATAACCACCACAACACGAATATTATGTGATCAATCAAAAAACAGGTCTGAATAAACCAATGTCATGTCATTTCAGTTCGGTCAAGGTGATTCATAAGCGACAAGTATGTGATTTCGTGTGTATATGTGCACTGTTAATGATGAAAAATGCGTGGCATTTATAATGACAAAGGAAAGAGTTTAATTTGTAAGATGGTGTGAAATTGTAAATAATATCAGACTAAGTGACTAGGATAGATAGTTTAAGTCGGATGTATGGTGAGGTCTTCCGTTCTATTGAGAGCAGTAGGATTAAGCATTATATATGGTACGCTTCAGCAACTCTCCTTTCTTTGTAATTGGAAAAGCCTTTTTTTAGTATTTTGATATCTTTGAAATCAATTTGATGATCGTTGAAAATGGCGCGAACTGCTATTGCCGATTTAATTTGAAGTCTATCCAGTTCTACAAGATTATCAGGTTTCTTTGTGTACCTAATATATTCTTTGGTACGAGTCAAGATTTCGCGAGATGACTCTCCAATATAAAAGGCATCACAATCGGCACAGCCTAACTTGTAGACACAGTTCTGTGTAGACATGAATGGAATTTTTCTTTTAATCGAACTAAAGTATTTTGAAGTGTGCTCGTTGTTTTGTAATATACTTTAATTCTGTGTTGTCTTAAGATCCTTTGGAGTTCTTCAGTTGTGCCATGACGGTAAGGTAAAACTGCAGTATTGAACTGTCTTGCTTTGATATACTTCTAATTATTAAATTGTAAGATACTTATTACATTCTTTTGTTCTTTTTATTTGTCCTCTTCTGAAGTGATGATCTTGGTGGCTCTTCTAAAAAAAATTTAAGGCTAACAAGATCTTAGCACTGAAAGCATGCGTTGAATGGAAGTCAATATAACGATTAGAGTGTGTGGGCTTTCGGTCACACATTTTTCATCATTAACAGTGCACACATACACACACAAATTTACATACTTGTCGCTTATGAATCACCTTGACCGAACTGAAATGACATGACATTGATTTATTCAGACCTGTTTTTTGATTGATCGCACCTAATATTCGCGTTGTTCCGTTGTACTATTTAAATTTGGATTAATGTTCATTTGGTTATTTATTCTCTGAAGAAGTGGCTTACACTGAGTCACAAAACGTCGGGAAATCAAATTTTCCTATTCACTAGGATATTACAAATATATTAATTTATTTATAATAATCTATCCAATGCTCAATTTATTCAAAATTATCAGATCAAAACTTGGTAATGATACCTACTACTAAAAAGGATATTCAGTCAGTCTCAACGCACAACTTCTTAGGTACGTACATCAGTTCGAGTTGTCACACCACATTAACACAGAGATGCAGTTGTCGATTCAAATCCCATATTGGTAGAAGTAGTAAGAGTATAAGCAGTAATCCGAAAGATTAGGGTTTGAAGATGTAATTGAAGGAGTATTATACAGTGAAATAAATTTCGAGAGAGATAAAAGAAAGAGACATGAAGAATTCAGAAGATCAGAATTTGGAAGAACACGAAGAGTAGATGCACGTTCGATGTTGCAAATGATTTTGAGCCATGTCATTCAAGGTCTCTAACCATCGGTTATTATCATCTCGCGGACCCCAACCAGGTAGTCTACACCTACCAACATGGCTCAGTCCAATTGTTAGTGACTTCATGGATTTATGCCACGTCTTGGTCTGGTCGCCCCCAACTTTCTTCCAACCTACTCCTACACCATAAAACAATGCACGTCGGGGCAGTCGGTGGTTGGGCATACGTAACACGTGTCCCAGCCATCTCAACTGATGAAGTTACCATCCTTACCTAGTACCCGTTTCCTAACAACTGCACTACTTACTCGGTGGTCCCAGGATATACGATCAATGCTTCGAAGACACCTATGATCGAATACTAGTAACCTACGAATATCCTGTACTCTTATCGGTCATGTTTCACTGCCATAAAGTAGGACGTTACGAACTACTGCACAGTAAATCTGTCCTTTGGTTGCTAGACGGATATCTCGCCTACGCCATAAATGACGCAAGTAGGCGAAAGCTAGACGAGCCTTCTGTATCCGTGCTGAGATTTCGTCGCACACCAAACTACAAGGGCTGATGAGACTCCCAAGATATGTGAAGCAGTCAACACGCTCAACTTCTTCACTCCCTATCATTAGTTCAGGTGCCGATGCAACCCAGTCGTGAAGTAACATTTTCCACTTCGAGGGAGAGTATCGCATACCGAACATGCTTGCCCTATGACTTAATGCTATACCTACTCCAGCGAAGCCACGGTAAGCAGCATCAGGGCTTCCAGATACACGAAGCGTGTATCGAGATGGTTCTTTATTATGACATAATGAGGTCAAATGAATGACGCTACTCGGATTTTGTATGCGCTTTTCAGAGAGGCAGCACAAATCGATGGTGTAAGATTCTAAAGTCCTAGCTAAGGAAGCCTGTTGTCCTATTTGGCACAATGTTCGGACATTAAAAGTTCTTATATGTAGTTTAGTTCTTGGTTTCAGGAGACCAGGAATAACGTTCCGTGTACTCGAATCGTTTGCCCTATCGGTGAGAGGTGACAAAACGATGTGAGAAGAGTTAGTCGTGGAGATAAGAGAGTTACTAGGTAGGAAGGACTTGAAAGTGACCAACTTGGTCTCGTGCGCAGTTACGGGTATGAGGGCTAATATCACTTCCCGGCTGCCCACATCGTGGATATTAATAGATGGTGATTCCTGTTCTTCAACTAAGCAAAAATACGAATATGTTGAATACAATTATGGGAAATGTTAAAATTTGAATCATGACACAGAAACTAGTATCTTCTACACACGTTCAGCAACAAAGCGCTACATGAAGTAAAAGTTACAACATTACTACTCGTGAGACAACTACATGGAAATGATATGAGTAAACGTAGAAGGGACCTATCGTTTGTGAAATCAACGAATGTGACATAATATACAATGCCACGACCACCTAAACAATATGCTTATTAAACATATTTGCAAACCACAAACCAATAAAAACGAACCAATTCTTCCTCTGTACTAGATGATATAAGTGATGTATTTGATAGAAGTTTAGTGATTTCGGCAGCCGATTGTGATTGGTTGTCATCAGACATTTTACGCAAAATATCCACAGTTTTATTATGACGCTTGATCAATAATTGCAGTAAGCTGAAAATACACAAACAAGAAAACATCACTGAATTCTGAAGTCAACAGAATAGCCATCTACTGATATAGAAGAAATAATGAGGTTAATTTCCAGCGTTGGAAATGCTGAAATTCATACATGTAATGCAAACATTTCTTGCAAATCTCATGTACCGTATTAAGTTGATTGATTTCCACAGTAACGCCGATTTACTAACAAGTAACATCATTTAAGCTTAGCGATTCTATGAAATATGTTATTTTGTCAAGTGATAAAAGCGTTGCTAACTATAATATAAGAATAATGAGCATGTCCTAGATATGATTCGATTATAATAAATATTGCACTCTTCTTTCCTCGGACTTGAGCTAATCCAAAAGACAAACGATTCTGCAAATATTCATTAGTAGAGACCAACGAAGAACGGATTAACGAAGGAGCTATTAAGTATAGATGTCCTTAAAAGTACCGCGAAAAACACAGAAAAACGAGGAGTGAATCTGTATGAAACCTAAAGGGACTTTTCTTACTAAAATTACACATTTTCGTCAAAGCACTAGTATTACAATGAATCGGTTCCCAGAAAACGTGATCCTTATTGCGGAATAACTTCGCCTGCAACTCTTCTAGAGTTACTGCCGGTCCCAAGATCGGGTAAAGGAGGAGAGTTGGGTATGGGGTCAGCAAACCTACCTCGTAGGAAAAAATGTTGCTAGAAACCGCCAACTAGATCAAATAAATTAAACCATTTAAACTCCGACCTCAGAGTTGAAGGAAGAATTATGACGCTCCTTCTAACAACCACAGCAACAATTTTTATAGCTACATGGAATGTCCAGTCGAATAGCAACGTAAATGAGGAGATACGAATCGGCAGTACTTGCAGTCAGCGAAAGCCATTAGACTCAAGCTAGATAGCAAAGGCCAGATACAGGAGAGATGCTGCTGTACTCCGATCAAGAAGGGGAAAATGTTCCACATACTCAGGGAGTCGCTCTAATGAAGTCTAGAGAAGCACGAAATGTACTTGTAGGATGGGAATCTCATGGATCCAGAATTATCAAAGCATTATTCAAAACGAAGAAGGCGGGGATCATAATGAATGTTATCCAATATTATGCACCCATCAATGATAGCAACGACGACGATTAAGATCAGTTCTATGAAAGGCTGCAATCAATCATAGCGAAGTGCTCAAGAAAGGACCTCACCATCCTGATGGGAGATCTAAACGCCAAAGTCGGAGTGGACAACATTGGACATGATGATATAATGGGTCGACATGGACTAGGAGAGAGAAATGAAAATGGGGAGAGATTTGCAAATATATGTGTTTTCAACAAATTGGTTATAAGCGGCACAATATTTCCACACAAACGCATACACAAAACTACATTGATCTCACCGCACCACACCACAGCGAACCGGATAGATCATATTTGTATCAACAAAAAATTGGGAGATGGGAGAACCAGGAGAGGAGCTGATATAGCTTCAAATAACCATCTACCTGGTTGTGATCAAGATGAAACTGAAGTTAAAGAAGCACTGGACAACTGGAAAAACTACATTACAAAGGTTCAATACAGTCTCTCTTCGAGATACTCACGAAACCAATCAATTCAAGGTACTTCTCAACAACAGGTTCCAAGTTCTACAGAATCTACTGAAAGAACAGGAAACTACGATGGAGGAAAACTGTAAAGGGATAAGGGAAGCACTAACTTCAGCGTGTCAGCAGGTTCCGGGTCGGAAGAAGCATCATTACAAGGAATGGATCTCTATGGGAACCCTGAAGAAGATTGAAGAAAGGCAGAACAAGAAAATGGCAATTAACAACAGTCGAACACGAGCAGAGAAAATGAAGGCACAAGCAGAGTACGCAGAAGCAAACAAGCAAGTGAAGAAGAGCATTAGAACCGACAAGCAGAAATACATGGAAGACCTACCTAACAAGGACTGAGGAAAAAGCTGTAAGAGGAGGAAATATGAAAGAACTATTAGATAATGAAGATAGATAGTATCATTTGAGGGAAAAGTGAAATCGTGATAAGATTCAAAGGCACTATAAAGATTTTTAAGCAATCAACATGAAAGCAATTAGATTAACATACAATATTGGATTGGGATGTAACAGCAATAATAAATAATATGAAAAAAAGCCTCAAATACCATGAGAATGAGTACGTTCCATGAAAACTAATAATTGGCTAGAAAGTCTGAATAATTGAAATTATCAAGATTACTAACTAAATGCAAGTTGTGTAAAAATGATTTTATAAATTTACCTACCCAACTAGTGTATCGCACGCATGAGGATGAAGTTTGGTAATTCGGGGAGATAGATTTGCTAGAGTTGCCAAAATATTAACATGAAGGTATTTGTCCTAATGAATAAAGAAGAACATTTACTAATAGTTTACAGTCGAATGTTTCTTTTTTTAAAAATTCATACGAAACAGATAAAAACAGATTTTAAAATGACCGCTCGATTACTGTCTAAAAAAATAATCATGTACACAAAGAAAAAAGGTAGTCAATAAATATCTTAACCCAGTACGAAGTCTCAACTGTTAAAACAGAATATAATTTCGCAATTATGAAGACGATGGATGATGAGACTAGTTAGGAGTCGAAGTTATTCATACATTTGAAAACGTTATTGAAGTATTTCACTGTATTATACTCCTTCAATAACATCTTCAAATCCTAATCTTTCACATAATGCTTATACTCTTACTACTTCTACCACTACAGGATTTGAATCAACAACTGCATCTCTGTGGTAATGTGATATGGTAACTCGAAATGATGTACGTACGTACGAAGTTCTACGTTGTGACTGACTATGAAAACATTATGTCTGAAACTTACAATCCTATCATACAATTCAAAATAATAATTGGTGTAATACAGACGAAGACACGATGTGACAAGATATTCAGTAAAAATGCCAGAGATTATACTCATTTGTGAATCCGTAATTTAAAGGCTTATCTAAACAGTAGCATAGATACTTAACTCATTCATTACTTAAGTATATACTAAGAATTTTCAAATGAAATAAGAACGAGTGTATGTGGTGTACAAATAATATAATGCAACAAAGAAACCCAGGGAAAATAAGGAATGATTTAATCCACTTAAAAAAAACGTTTTGATGTAGCAGTTCAGTATTGATGAATGATGCCTATGTACCTAAAGCTAAATTTACCTTATTTCACCATTAATTTATCAGAAAAATAATCCAACTGATGAACTAAACATGATGTATAGAATTCAATAAATATTCTACAAACTGACTTTCCACCCAATTATTACATAAATCCAAGGAAGTAATCATGTATTTTTGACAGCGACGGACTTCAGAAAGCTCATAAAATGAAACAAATGTAAAGAACTTTCGAAAACGATACGAAAAGAACATGTCTTACCTTCAATTGGTTCAAATGGTATTGAATGGTACGACAAAGAACTAATACAGTTAAGCTTCCATATGAAACATTCGAAAGTCGACGATTTGCTGACCACTGAACCCATTTAATATCCTTTAAAAAAATAGTTGGATAGTTGACGAAACAGGAGATAACAGCAGGAACAGAAAATAACATTAATTAGTACAAAAATGTATGTATTGCACAGAAAAATATCGGGATATAGGTAGCATTTTGAACAAACAAAAGGAGTCCATAGGTACTTAAGTGGGTTATTTAAATAGTCAATGGTTGATGAAACATCATTGTTTGATCCCTCGCAGTTATCTTTCAAACAGCCATAATAGGCAGTAGGCCGTAACACAATTATGATACGTGGTTTCAATGTATATTTTTATTTTATTATTATTGGCTTAATTCAATATTATATTTTTGGTACAATATAGAATTCTAAAAACAACGTATTTCAACACGTTTCCGTTTCTCCATTCTTGGTCAATCATGACGACAAATATTGAGTAGTCGCCAGTTAGAATTTAGCATATCAAGAATCGACATCTGAATAATGTACATTCTTTTCGCTGAATATTGCCAAAAACCACGATATCTCTGGGCTTTTTTGTAGCCTGTACAGCGAAAGATTGTAAACTCTTCATAAAGGTACCTGAATAGGCTAACCGATTAACAAACATAATGATGTGTTAAGACAAACATAAACAGATAACTTGTTGAAATATCTAGATGGCAGGAACACGTAGCCCAGATACTCACGCAGGCCGCTTGTCTAGTTTGAAATACTATACAAAAACAAAGCACGATTTCTTAGGTGCTTATATTACATGCAGTAATAAGTATACAACCGACAAATTTTATTCCGGCTGTTTATTTACTTAATCTGTCAGAAATCTGAATTTTTACTAATAAGGGTACTGAAAATATTTTATTAATATTCTGCCCAGTGATCAATTTACACCTTGGTATTGGTACTTACAACTAACCAGTAACTTGTTTTGAGCGCCTATAAGAATTTTAACATGAAAATTCCAAACATGGCTTTTAAGGATTTTTCCGCCGTAACACACAAAAATAAGTAATTGAGAATGATAAATATTCATGTAGATACAGTCCAATTCATTTGTCAAGCACAGATTTATGTGGGTTAGCTGAAGTTAGATATTAACACCGTCGGATCTTGGCTCAGTGGTCTGGAGAGTAAGCGTTCATGCCCAAGCCCGAAGGCCCTAGGTTCGAATCCGACGTGCAGAGTCGTGGATGCGCACTGCTGAGGAGTCCCATACTGGGACGAAACGGCCGTCCATTGCTTCCAGGTTTTCAATGGTGGTCTAATATTGATCCATTTATGATCTCGATCAAAACAGATGTCCTCAACTTTGAACCACGCTTTACATGTGAGGGCTAGTGAAAGAATATTCTACTTCAAAACACTATCTTTCTACGATACCTACAATCTAGGAATTAAGTAGGGGGAATTTCGGCTTATGGATTATACATAGCTAAATAGTCAACAACATCCGACATCTGATTCCAAGTGGCACTTTTGTCGACAATTTTGATTATTCTAAAACGTTTGTCATGAAAAAGTCATAAATTACTTAATAATGAGACAGCTAATGAGATTTTAAAGATCATAACAATTAGTAACAATTCCTAATTGAATATTGATTTCCTAATGATATAATTATCAGTCTAATTACAACTAAAACAGAAGCAGTCAAAAGTTAAACCAGGAATTATTAACTTCAGCTATGCAGATATCTCAACACGAAAACCAACTTACCAGTAGTAGTTTACTGTGTTTTCAATTCAAACTAAACAATCAATTGAATTCCTTATCAGGCAGACTGAAAAGTATTACGGTAACTGACCACGTAAATAAATTGACCAGGAAAAAAAGAACAATAAACTATAAATTAACTCACTGATGTGTGTATATCACGTCCAAATTGTTCATTCTCCGTAAATATCAGTAACAGAATTAATGCCATATAGACAAGATGTGAATTATGTGATTGAGATTTATATAGAATATTTAACAATGGTGGAAGCTGAAAATCAATTAACAAAAGAAGTGGTAATGTACATAGAACAATATATTATTAACATAACTGACAAATAAAACACATTCAAATTATTAAGAATACTAGTTATTAGTATATCCTTTCGAAAGAGTCCATATGCTTATTGCTGAAACTTCACAATTCGCAAGGATAGGTGGTTTGATGACTAGCCTAATCATACGACATCTGTTCAAATACTAAAACTTACTAAATTTCGTCTTTAGTTGAATAAGGGATATGTTTGCCAGTGAGTAATTTGTGACTGACAAGTCACCAATAACTAAGGAGTATGGAACAGAAGAAATAATACATTAATTGAATCAAGTTACCTGCCGATATGAGCGATAGTGTACCGTATCGAAAAGCTAACGAAACTAATGTTAATCCTAATATTCGTCTAAGCATCAACAGATAGGTCATAATGGAACTAGATCATTCACCAAGTACTGGAGTTTGAACCAGACGTTAATTGTGAAGACTACTAATATTGCCCGACTGACCAAGCCGAAGCAAGTGGAGATGGCAATGGAGACTGAGACTTAGTGTTAGCAAGTCGAACACCTTAACCATCAACTCAAAGTTTCACGGGTGACAAACGATGTACCACTTAATAGTCACTTTAGAAGCAGTATCATAGAAGTGCGAATGGGTATATGTACTTTTAGATGTTTTGTAGTATAAATAATTCCTGGGAAAACCTTGGTGCCAACAACATTCAAACTACCATACAGTGGTAGAGTACATACTATGGGAGTATGAATTAAACTCATCCCAATAACATATAACCGCTTATAAATGTGTCCGCTAGATTTGACATTTACTATATAATGGTTCCAACTAAACAAATTACATGTAATGTTTTACAAATAATTTTGCTCCACTTACATTTGCAATGTTAATGTAAGTTACTTTTGAACTAACAATAACCCATGAGACAGAATTAATTGTTATGTTGGTGTTTTGTAGCACAAACAATATAAAAATGACTTCTTACCACTTTCTCATAGCCCTGCTCTTGCATAATGAACGAATGAAAGTTTGTATTTCGATGAACTAAAAGGTACAATAACAGTGGACTACTGTCTTGAGACAATGTCGAAGCTGCTGTATCACAGATTGCAGTGAAATTTATTTGCGGTGATGATGGTTGAGTAACTATATTTAAATGTCCATTTAATGTAGCACCACCTGGCTGTAATCGAGGGGCTGAAGTAGAAATAACATATACAGGATGAATGTAGCCGCCCAACACACTTGTTACACAATAAATATTTATTCAAATCTACAATCTTATCACGTATTTATATGACAGTAAAACAAACAGTCGTGTGGACGGATACAAACAGAAATACATGTGACCGTTGCATTTGTAATAGTAACGTTATTGAATATATTGTAAACGTTCATATATACCTCATGTAAGTTTGGCTATATTGTCCTTGGGTTATTTCGTCTATGCATACAAACTAGTCAACCACTAATTTTTACTCCACTACACCTGACTGAAAACGTGCATCGCACAAGTTTGGTTAGTTGAATTTGCTCGTTTGAAATATAATTGGTATATATTTCTCCATTCATTGGTAAAATTCATACATTAGCATAGGGCCTTAATGAAGGTCCTGGGTTCAAATTCGATGTGCAGGATCATGAATGCGCGCAGCTGAGGAGTCCCATACTGGAGCGAAACGGCTGTTCATTGCTCCCAGGTTTTTAATGGTGGTCTAGCATCGGTCCATTCATCACACTAATCTAAACTCAAAGATCTCCACAACCCTATATTGATAATCTGAATATATGTCAGGAATACGTCTAAACAGATATACGAAGTAACTCACACTGGAGAAGACAATAACATGAACACGTTAATGATGATCAGTTGCAGAGTAATTGAAACCACACAGAGATCAAGAGCTGTTCGAGTTAAATTTTGTGACTTTATTAAGGTTCACTAAAGACTCTAATTTTATTATTATTGTTATCAAATAAATTTTATTTTTTCATTTAAGTTGTAATAAGCATCGGTTGTCTGGTTCCTTCCAGTTTGGTTAGCACTTTAATTACTTTGAAAAACAATCTAGTAACATCTTAGAAACTTCTGACACCACATAAAGCTTGATAAAAATATTTATTCAAACATAAAAATATTCATAATAATGCAGCTACATATGAACAGCCTCCAGTTTATTATCAAAAACTTTAATCAGAACAGCGAATTGGAAGTTTAACGTATTCGTATCAGATTATTTTGGCTATAAAATCTGAAGTCAATACACAAACTTTTCAACCGAAGCCTGTTATGTTTCAATGAAATCTTTATTTTATTTATTTAAATACATAAATATTAGTACAAGGAAGCACCAGATAAATATGCGCCTCACAAATCTCATTCGATTTGTGTGAGGGCTGTGATACTGCCCGGGTGTCCAAACCGAAGCAGGTGGTTTTCTTAGGGGGCCACACCCCGAGCCATTGACCTAAAGGCCTAATCCACAAGGCGGTGGAGCATCGTGAGGAGATGCAGTCCCATGGTAGTCGGTGACCAACGATTGATTCATACGCCATTTGTTCCTTCAGGATAGTGGAGCCCATGTGCACCATTGGTTTAGAATCAGGGTTTTCCAACTCCCCTAGGTGGATCCTTCATATCCACCAACCCGGTTAAAGCATCGGGCATTCGCTTTTCGTCCTCTCACTTTCGTGAACAACACCTCGCCACGAGAAGGCAGTGAGTAGGACTTTCCTAGCAGAGGCTATATACGTGTGGCCATGTGAGAGCATTTCCAGAGGAAGAGCGGACTCTCCCGACTCTCGGCCGTACCAGGGCATTTGGAGGTGAGTACTTTATATACATCGATTAACATTAAATTCATCTTTCGTAGATGTTAATGTGTTAATAAATTTCGAAAATCTAACATTAGCAATATTTGTAACTATAAAAAGGAATATTAGTGAGTGAACTTGTGCACAAAAGACTTAATGCCTAAGACTAACTTGACTTTGGTATCAAATGAGTTGTATCCATTATTGAATCAACTTGATTTTTTTGAGTAACTTCATCTTGTAAAGAAAAAAGTGTAATTCGATAAGGATTTCGTCCTAGAGAATTTGAATCTTTAATATTATTTTCTGAATAAGTTGATATAGTCTTCTCAATAGATCCAGCCTGAGTAGTAAGTATTAATAAAAGTAGTGAGCTGACATTTGACAATAGATGACACTGTTCGTTTGATTTGATAGTTGATTCTGACGTTAAAAGATCTGGAGAAACATTTTTTACTGGTTCAACAACTGCAACATGTGGACTATTCTGTATATCTGATTTTGTTGAACCATTGGCAGTGCGACTGAAGTAACCACCAAATGTGACGATTGTAACTAAACTACCTAAAATTAAGAAAACATATGAATTTCAATAATAGCGCACAATTTACTAGGGTACACCATTAAACGCAACTACCGCTAGTAACTCAATGGGTGAACAAAGTCAACTAAATATATTTATGTCCGACAACCATCGATCAAAGATCGCTTATTTTATCAGAAGCTTGTCAGTACACAATGAAAATAGGTAAACGCAAATTTTAACAATGATTAATCACTACCAAGTGACTACACTAAACACATTTATGACCCTAGATCCAGAAACACTAATAATGATATGTAGTTTACCTGCACAACTAACTTCAAAAAGAGAGTCTACTAGGGAGATATACATACAGTAAGGTAGTTTAGACATACCTGCAATAGACGCCGCTGCACGCCATATTAAATTGTATTGTTCAATACCGTGTAATAGTGTTGGGACAGGACGATTTTCAGAAAAGTTAGACAATAATCGGTAAACTAGAGCAGGAGCAAGAGGAGCACTGGAATGCAGAAAAAGGGAAACGACTAACAGACAATCAGGCTAAATAATAAAAAGCAGTTGATCTGATTTTAAAATGCGATACTTAAGTTTGTGTAAAGACACATAATAAAACGGACAAACACTCAGAGAGAGTAGCTGCTTTAGAAGAAGCAAAGTAATAAGGTTACTGCTAGTCGAAATCTTAAATCCGTCTGGAGTCCCTCTAGGGCTGCTGATGGATCCAAGTACCAATGAAGGACAAAGGTTGGGGATGGGGTTAGCGACCGCATCCCGTAGAAAATTAACTCTCTGAAAAAACGCTAACCAGAAAAAGTAATTCAAACCATTTAAACTCTGCTTTGGAAGTTAAAAGATATTCATTTAGAAGACTTGTGACGTCTCACGATGAATTCCGAGTTCCCTCAGAGGTCACGAGGCTGATGCCCCTTCTGAAAACCGGCGTAGCCATTAATTAAGGTACATGGAATGTTCGTACAATGTGGGAGACCGGGAGAGTCTTCCAAATTGCTGCAGAAATGAAAAGATACGACCTGGAGGTGCTTGGAATCAGTGAAACACATTGGACGCAGGTTGGACAACAAAGACTAGCTTCAGGGGAGCTGCTGTTATACTCGTTGCACTGATGTTATCCAAACAAACACCGAAAGCACTTATCTGATGAGAATATCACGGACCAAGGATCATCAAAGCCTCCTTCAAAACAAAGAAAAAGGGCATTACAATGAACGTCACCCAATGCTATGCGCCTACCAACGACTGCAACGAAGACGTTAAAGATCAATCCTACGATAGGCTGCAACTAATCGTCGAGAAGTGCCCGACCAAGGACCTGACCATTCTGATGGGAGATTTCAATGCCAAGGTTGGAATGAACAACACCGGATACGAAGACATCATGGGACAACATGGACTAGGAGAAAGGAACAAAAATGGTGAGATTTGCAAACCTATGTGCCTTCAAAAAACTGGTCATAGGTGGCACCATATTCCCACACAATAACATAAACAAAGCCACTTGCATTTCACCAGATCACACTACAAATAATCGAATCGATCATATCTGCATCAACAAAACGTTCAGGAGGACTATGGAGGATGTGAGAACCAGGAGAGGAGCTGATATAGCATCCGATCTCCACTTAGTGGTCGCCAAGATGAAACTAAAACTTAAGAAGCACTGGACAATGGTGCGGACAACATCACAAAAGTTTCATACGGCCCTTCTTCGAGATGCTGACAAATTCAACATACACCTCAGCAACAGGTTCCAGGCCTTTCATGATCTACTCAATGGAGAGCAACTGGGGAGGTATCAAGGAAGCAATCATTTCAACATGTCAGGAGGTTCTGGGCCAAGAGAAGTACTACCACAAGGAATGGATCACTGTTGGTACACCGGATAAGATTGAAGAAAGGAGGAACAAGAAGGCAGCAATCAATACCAACCAAACAAGCGCTAAAAAAGCCAAGGCACAAGCCGAATACACAGAAGCAAACAAGCAAGTGAAGAGGAGCATCAAAGCCGACAAACGTAAATATGTGGAAGATTTAGCAATGACAGCGGAAAAGGCTGCAAGAGAAAAAAAAAGACAGCTGTACGACTCGCTGGAAATTATCGTAAACCAGAACGACCAGTGAAAAGCAAGGAAGGCAAAGTAATCACCAACAAATCGTGCATGCAGGACAGTTGACAGACTCGTTCGAGGTAAAGACCGGTGTCAGGCAAGGCTGCTTACTCTCACCCTTTCTCTTTTTCATGGTGATTGACTGGATCATGAGGACGTCAACATCTGGAGGGAAGCACGGGGTACAGTTAGGATGCAGCTGGACGATTTAGACTTCGAAGATGATCTGGCTCTTTTATCATACACGCAACAACAAATGTGGGAGAAAACGACCACTGTAGCTGCAGCCTCAGTAGCAGTAGGTCTCAATATAAACAAAGAGAAAAGCAAGACTCTCCGATATAATACAACATGCACCAATCGAATTACACTTGACAGAGAAGCTTTGAAGGATGTAAAAACCTTGTTCTACCCTCGCACTTAGTGATATGTCTGAAGCTGACAGTTTAACGAGAACTAGCCATCGGGTTGCTCTCCGTTTTGGCGAGGTGAGGTCAAGTGAATGACCACACTAGGACCTTATATGTGTGTTTCGGAGATGCAGCATACATCAGTTGTACGATATTCTAGGGTTTAGGCCAAGGAGGTCTGCTGGCCGACTTGACATAAGGTGAGTACGTTGAAGGCTCGAATGCGTAGTTTGGAGTGGGGTTTCAGTAGACCTGGGACAGTGTTTCATGCACTGGAATCCTTGACCATGGTGACATTTAAGGAGGAAGTTGAAAGAGGACGCTTAGGATTGAAATACAATGTGAGAGGAATAATAGGAGACTGGTTATGAATACAGTAATATTGAGTGTTGTTAAAGGTATGAGGGTTGTTATCACTTCCCGGTTGCCCACACCGTGGAAAGGTTCTTCTCGAGGTACCTGAAAAAGAAATTGGATTAGAGGTGGTCTTAGTGACCTGAGGGCGTGACCGCAGTATCCAAGAGTCAGTTACATACGACTTTTTCTAACCCTACTCCTCCTTGTGGGAAGGCAGCATCGATGTTTTGCTGGCTGTCTGAAGGAAGCACCTTACTACCGTCACTTCTGTACAGTCAGCAGTACGACATCGCCTTCGGACCTTGGGTTTGCTGATTTTAGTCTTACCGCTCTTCAACAGACCTGTCCGACATGGTAGGACTTTAAGGAACGATTGTTACAGTTAGTATAGCTCAATTGGTTCATTACGACAGGTAAGCTCGGTCACCATTTCTAAGCGATAACTGCCCTTATACCTCTATCACCACTCAAGAGCAGCAACGGTCGGGACGAAGAAAAATTTACTGACAACGAAAAATTAAGATCGGTGGGGCATATAACTCTAAGTGAGTAAACTTTGAAATTTTATAAAAGAGACAATAATCTTGTTAAAACTTAGACTATCGCTGTTTGATAGCAGCATGATATGTTTGGGTTACAGAAGTAAGATGTTAGACAGAGGATAAGCGTTATGTTGAACCCAGATCTGTTTACGTGCTCCAGCAAATTAATCCTAATTCGGATGATCTATTTACATACTTCTACTAGAATACAAATGAAGTGAATCCCAGACAGAACAAGTGTTGATGAAAAGTCAGAGTTTTTAATTATTCAAACACATAAATATCGGTACGAGGAGGTGCTATGGTAGCCGTTGAGCAACAATAGGTTCATACACCATTTTTTAGTATCCTGGATCCTATGTGCACTATTGGCTTTGAATCAGGGTTTTCCGATTCCCGTAGATGGATCCTCCATATACATCAACTCGGTTAAAGCATCAGAAATTCTTTTTGCATCTTCTCAGATTCGTATACAACATCCACACTGAGAGGGGGCCATGAGTTAGATTTCCCTGGAAGTGGCTGTATACGCGTGGACACATGAGAACGGACTGTCCCCACCCTCAGCTGATGGTGGCTTAGATGGATTATATAAAATTAAGAAGTCAGATGCTGAGTAGAAAATAGAGAAGTAGGGGGACTATGGTAAATTATTTGTGTGGCGTAGGTCACCAACAACATATCCTGGTTTGTTTTTATTTATTTATTTAAACACATATATAATGGCACAAAAGGGCATCAGGTACATATGCGCCACACAAAATAATGAAAGTAGGAAGAGAAGGGATGAAAAGATAAGAATTCATCATTTCATTTATTTGTGTGTGGGCTGTGATACTGCCCGGGTGTCCAAACCGAAGCAGGTGGTTTTCTTAGGGGGCCACACCCGAAGCCTTTGACCAAAAGGTCTGATCCACAAGGCAGTGGAGCATCGTGAGGAGATGCAGTCCCATGGTAGCCGTTGACCAATGACAGGTTCGTCCGCCATTCGTTCCATCAGGATACTGGAGCCCATGTGCACCATTGGTTTGGAATCAGGGTTTTCCAACTCCCCTAGGTGGACCCTCCGAGTCCACCAACCCGGTTAAAGCGCCGGACATTCGCTGGTTTGTACTAACCCAGAATCATTTTAAATGGAGGAAATTTGCCTATACTGATTCAGCTTTAGCATTAGTTCTCCATTAGTCATGGTCTTTTCAGTTTTGTAAAATGGCCCAGTCAGGCATTAAGGTAGAATACGTTAATCACTGAACCGGAATCGGAGATCATAACAAGCAGATTGGTTTTCGGATACTAAACTACGTATAAGATTATTTAAAGTAAGAGTAAATGAGGCATTTTGCACGGAAATCTGTGTAGGATAGAGTACCTGAAAGAATGATTCCAGATCCCTTAGTCGGAACTCCGGGGACGTCTAGATGGCTATTAAAGAGGTTTGAAGAAAAGTTTGTTTCAAAGTTAATACTTATTATTGGTACTAATCAGCTCAAGGGCCACTTTAGTCATAGGGTAATCCATATATTACCTGTTTCGGTTTTAAATTACATGGTAGCGGGTGACAATGACTCACGATTTAGATCAATTTACCGAGCAGCCCACAAATTTGTGACTAGGAGTTATCTCTGTTACAAGTTCAATATTGTGCATTAGTGGCGATTGTCGCTAATAATGCACAAAGAGTAAGAAGTTGCTACGATAAGTTCACCAACAGTAAGCTATAACTTAAAAAGATAGTACCCGTCAGATACGCTCAAACGGTTTTGTATGCAAACAATCAAGCCACTTAAAAAGCTTTGAGGAAGGGGTATGTAGAATTTCAGACTTTAAATACATGAGGGTTTATCTAAAGTCTAGCATCCACATAGTTTATGATTTACTGACGATGATGGTATTATTAGCCATGTTCAAAGAACAAGTACTCTTTTGCCAACGGAAAATTCTAACCTCTATGAGAGATGAGAACGTTCCTACTATTCTGCTATGTTGGACTAAACTAAATGCTCAGGAGCCGAGTGGAATTCAGCTCATTAAGACTGACGGTATCTTAAGTTATGAGAACTTTTAAATGCGACAACGCAATTGAACTAAGGTTTGTAATGGTTAACGCACTATGATTACCAAGTAGTATAAGTGAAGTCAGCTTTATTAATAAGCGCTTTTAGAGCAAACCGGACCAACTATCCATGTTGTTGAAGGAAGAGCAGATACGGGTAAATGTGACGAGAAAGCATTTAGTGCTAATGAGATAGTTACAAAACCACATGAATAGTTTATAATAAACTCACCACTTCCCCCAAACAACAGAAACGTAGACCTGTGGTAGAGGAGCTGATAGTTCTTTATACATTTGTCTAGAGAGAAACACTATACACAACAAATGAGCTTCGCAATGCAACAAGTAAGTATTGTCTCTAAAAACAATCAGTGGCAAAATTAAACTTACTGGATAGGCAGATTGGTTATAAGCCTGAAAAGTACAGGAAACAAACACTCAATTACAGATAAACAATGGGGACCTAGGGAAAACACTGTTCGACTGAAGATAACTATACCTTCAGGAGAATTAACAGAGAAGTGAGAGAAAAATCTAGCTTCAGAGCAGTGTTCCATCAAGTATTTCACCGACAAACGCAGAATAAGTAGTCCATTTTGAGCAATTAGTACCGTATCTTCGCATCTACAAATATAAAACAACTGTTAAATAAATCTACATGTCTGGTGAGGCTATTAATTCTGACATCTTTGATATGAGAAATTGAATGAGGTTGGGAATGTTACGAGATTGGAGGTTATTTTTCTTAAGATCCTTGAGCAAAGTTTTATTTGCTTTTTCAAAATCTATGAGAGGGCTTGTATCAAGAGTTTGGTGAGCTGAGATTTAATTTCACACACCTGCTTTTTGTTGTTGAGCCAACCGAAGACAGAAATTCCATCCAATATTCGCTGTTAGGTGGTATTCCATCAGTCCCGACAAACCTTTGTAGTGGCTCATCCTTAGACACATTGGCAAGAGTGCTGTAATTAGAGCCCATTTTTTGTAGTGTTGTATAATATTAAGCTACCACTAAATCTGAAGGTCACAAGTTGGTGTGAATAAAGTTAATTACACTTCAGAAAACAAGTGACCAGTCGTTTCCTAGAATACTATCATCAAAAAAGTATTTGAGATGTTGTACTTAGTGATGGTTAAAAAATGTTGAGTTGAGCTGTATTCATCAGTTGCGTCAACCCATATGTTAAATACTCACAAGTCATGTTACTACTTGTTGCGCAGATTGTTTTTTTCTATAATGCAGCTTGTGCTTTGGAAAAAAGTCAAGGCGCTCTTGGACCTCGCATTTTTACATTTGTACATGGTGATGTGGATGCCAAACTTAATTTCTCTGCAGCGGAACATTACTGTCAATCTATTGGACGGCTTTCTGATACGAATAACATGGATGACTCAAAGGATAAACAAAACCGTCAGCACCTGTTTTCTAATCCGTCACAAAGTCATAAGGATGGCATGGTCCTACGAACTTCCCTTGCATCCGTGCACTCATATCCAGAAAATCTAGCTTTGGTAAAGTGGGTAGCCAAACAAGAAAAGCATTCATTTTGGATAGGAGGCAAAATTACTAAAACAATGAATGAGTTTACAAGACCCATTTATGTTTTGCATTGGGTTGACGGCAGTAAAGGTGATTTCAGTCTTCTTCGCTTACCTAATCCAGAAATGACTTCCATGCGAGTTGGTGAACACAGATGCACGTCTGTTGATTATAGTTCTGGACAATGGGGGATTCATTTATGTTCCGAAAAGAAATATTTTGTTTGCCTTACAGTCCCAGTTTTCAATACAGAAAATCAAGAATCTCCAAAGCAGAAGGAAAAATCATCACGCTCTTTGGAAAAGAAATCTGAAACACATGATGCTCTAATTGATGATGAAATGGGAAGTACGTTATTATAATTAGTGTGCTATTTTGAAGATTCTATAAGTAGGTAGAACCAAACGTTTCCATGATATGTGTTAATCCTTGAATTTTTGTTTCTTTGTTGTTTGTATATAAAATCAGTACTAAACAAATATACTGTTCAAAATAAGTTTTTTTCCTAAGTTTATTCATTAGTTCACAGGTGCCTCTCATAAATGAAAGGAAACTGATGTACTTGATAGTTTTATAGTCTTTAAGATAGCTAAATATGCACTTGATTGTTTTTTATATGTATTAAATATATTAACTAATTATTAGCTAACCGGATATTTTACGTTCATAACTATGTACAACATCCCTATTTTTATGTTATTATGGTATCCCAACTTTTAAGAAACAGCCGATGTTATCAACTACCTATAAAACTTATTTCAACTTTGCATAAATGCTAAATCATGAGTTTTAGTTTGATGTAAGTAGACGAAATGAAGTTTTATTCTTTGGTCCTGTGTTTATAATTCAGTGAAGTCTTTTATACCATCTATTTATAGTCCTTAAGTGTAATTGGAGGATGTAAGACGATTCGAAATTTAGTCCTATAAATTTTTCTTTACTTTTATGGTCAAATCATGATAAATTTACATTTGAAATGAAACTGACGTGTGTTGAGTAATAGTATTTAAAAAAAAATGAAACTATGGCCTTAACATTTTTTCGTGTATGGCAACTTTAAAATGCCTGAGAATTGATAAGAATGGATTGGTTCGTTCACATGGTCCTTACGACGTTTTTACTCACTTTACGCTGAGAGGTTATTTTCATTAAAAGGAGGTAAAAATTCATGGCTCTATGTAGATAGTAATAATACACAGTAAATCAAATATGTAATTGGTTAACCGTCCAGTGCTTCCTGGTTTTCTATGGTGGTCAAGCCTCAATTGACTCATGATTTCAACTATAAAATTGCTAAAATCTCCACTAACACCTCTTCTGATAACTGTAAAATTGACAATTTCCGATGTAGTATGTAACAAGTGTTTTTATAATTTCTAACAAATGTTTCTACCAGAACTTCTGGTATATTTTCAAGGAAGATTCAATTGAACTTTCTCCATAACCTCAAAATTAATAGCTCAAATAATAATTTAGTCGTCCGTATTTATAGATAGCTGGGTTAAATTAAGCGGATTAGGGTACCTACGTTAAATCCCTAAGAAGCGTATGTAAATTTTCCATGAAGTGATCTGTCTGATATGGAAAACGTATTACTATATAGTTTCATAGAGTGCATTGATCAATAGATTTTCTGCAAGGTTAATTACGATTGCTTGAGATCATAAAACCTTTTATCCATTCTTAAGTGAACAAAATCCTGAGTATCTTTAAAGTCGAAAGTCTGTTTGCAATTGCGCATTTCGATTTAGCATAAATTACATATGTAAAGCTGCAATATGCAATGATTATAGGTTTTTGATAGTCATTTAGCGATATCCAGATTAAGAATATGAATCAGTAGTAACAATTTATGCACATTAAACTGAATTTTCATTATTGAGTATGTGAGGTGCAATAATTAGGAAATATTTTGAAACCCTTCAGCTTCAATTCTTGATTGCATTTCACCTATCATCAATATAAAGTAGTACCATTAATGAACGTGTGTAATGCTTTTTATCAATGAACTGCATCTTTGTCTTTAATACCACATATAATATTCTTCGTTTGACTGTAGACAATATGTGCCTATTGAGATCATTTTGACATAATAAAGAGTGTGGTATATTCCAGTTTACGGAAGCTACTTTTAAGTTGATCTTAAATATAAAATACTAGATAAAATGTACAAAAAATTTCCAATTAATTTCTTCTTATAAGAACAGTTTACTTTATTGTTGATAACACTACTCAAGTGAAGCTAAACCACCATGAAAAACCTGGAAGCACTGGACGGCCGTTTCGTCCTATTGTGGAACTCCTCAGCAGTGCGCATCCACGATCCTGCACTCGCGAGATTCGAACCCAGAACCTACCAGTCTCGCGCCAGAGTACTCAACCGATAGACCACTGAGCCGGCATCCATCGGTGTCAATGCCCAACTTCAACTAATCCCCGTAATTGGTTGACACATCCACCATTGTCATCAATTAGTCACTCAATTTCGACATTAACACCGTCCCATAATAGGACGAAACGGCTGTTCAGTGCTTCCAGGTTTTCCATGGTGACTCATGATTTCATCTATGAAAATACTGAAATATCCACAAGAACCCCTTCTGATTACGCTACTATCCAAATACGAGTCACTTTGCGTTAAAACGTCTATTTTATTATTATTATTATTACTACTAGTAGTATGTATGTATTATGTACTTTTTGCTTACTATCTGTAGTTCATCTCATTGTGCTCAATAACTCAAATCTCATTCAGTAGTTTAATATTTCGTATACTTATATAAAGATTCATGTATGTCAAAGTAAAACCAGATGACGGTCTAAATGTAAACAATATTTTTAGCTTATATGTATTGTTCTACATTGTACTGCATTGATAACCAGTGCTTATATCCAGATTGATTAACTAATCCATATACCCTGGAAGTTAGTTTACTCGTCAGGTAGGTTCTTCGGAGAAGCATTAGCAAATGTGTTAAAATCAGATCTAGTTTAAATCATTACTTGTTAGGAGTAAGCCATAAGTCAACTTTTTTATTTTGCTGGCAAAAGGTTCTCATTTAATATGCGTGTAAGGTTTTACATTGATTGTAGGATTTAAATAGTAAATAATTGACTGTATTTGATATTATCAAATTATCAATCAATGTCTACTATAACTAGTAAATAAGAATAATCTTTATAATGAAAATACTTAGCAAGCAAAGATGGACAGTGGCCAGTGACGAAATCGAGGACGCGCGTGTCGTCCTATCTAGGATTCGTCAGCTGGATGTACCTGCATTTCGAACTTGTTGTTCACTTCGGAAACGGAACCCAGTACCATGAGTTTCAAACGTCATCGCGCTATCCACTTATCTACTGATTCCTGATAACCTTCTGTTTGTGCTTCGTGTTATCCACTTAGCTACTGAGTCAATCCCTTCGAAGAAGCAGGTGATTAGCAGAACTCAGTAGCTAAGTTGATAACACGACAGCTTTTGTAGCGAACGGTCCAGGGTTCGAGTCCCGGAATAAGCATGAACTCAGATGTAAGTAAATCCAGCTGACGGGTCCCAAAGAAGAAGAGGAGTGCGTCCTAAATTTCACTGTTATCCCCCATCCGTCTTTGCTCATAAAACTTGTAAATAAAGGCATTATCAAAGCATCCGCACCGGATGAACATATGCTAATGGGAGACCGATCAATTGCAGTCTTAAACATCAATGCGAAGATTCAAGTAAACAATACCATGTGATGAATATGACTTCTTGATTAACATCATGTAGTCAATACCTGAAACTCCTTTTAAATAAAATGACTTGTGAAATGTAGTGCAGAACTGGGTATGCATAAACAGTATATTGTAAACGATAAAATAAGTAGCAAATATTTATACATAAATTTGTATTAATTTGACTTGGTTATTTATTCTTACAATAATTAATCTCTACTAGATTGCGAGATATTGGTGTTTCAATTCGCTATTCATTTAGTTATTAGACAACTTACTATTGTTTTGTCTCTTCGAATGTTGCTAACTGATCTACAATACTATTTGGAAACTACACACACGTCAGATTGTACAGTCAACTATAAATATATTTTTAAATGGTGATGATTAAAGTAATAAAATACATTTGACTGTCAAAAGAAATTACATTGTCTTAGCACTGAAATTTATTGGTACTTACTTACTTACTTACGTCTGTTATCCCCAATGGAAAATTTATTGATACACGTTATAATATATCAGATCTTTATGTAAATGCAATGATTCAGATTTTTAAAGTATTTTTCATGAGTGTTGCACAATCTTAATAAATCTCGTGTTTTGTTTCCTTCGAGAGTATTCACTTTGAATAAATCAGAGTAAAATCATTAAAAGAGAACACTAAAATTTCCGAAACGTACACCTAAAAGATATTGTGAATCTGAAATTCATAGTTGCAAGCGTGAGTCAATTGAAGCTAGACCACCATGGAAAACCTGGAAGCACTGGACGGCCGTTTCGTCCCATTGTGGGACTCTTCAGCAGTGCGCATCCACAACCTCGCCTCGCGAGACTCGAACCCAGAACCTACCAGTCTCGCGCCAGAGCACTTGACCGATAGACACTGAGCCGGCATCCGATGGTGTTTACGTCTAACTCCAACCAATCCACAATAGGACGAAACGGCTGTCTAGTGCTTCCAGGTTTTCCTAGGTGGTCTAGCTTCAATTGACTCACGCTTGCAACTATGAAAATACTGAAATCCCCACAAAACTCTTTCTGATAATCTGACATTTATTAAATGTGAATATTTATGTACTTGTTTACATATTCCGTAATACTCAAGCAACTAGATTATGGTTATTTTATGGAATAACTATGAAATATTTATATAAATATCGAACTTATTTATTTGTCGGATCAATCGTACGATTTATAGTAACTGCTGTAATGATAATATCAAATTGTGAAATCTGAAAACATAATGGATAAATTCAGGGATAACTTGAATAGTTATAATATTAAATATGTTCAAATAATTAGGGAAACAAGTGGGTAAAACAATGGTAAGTTTAATTGAACTATAATAAAAATGATTAGGAACTGAACTGAGGTGTAGTTGGAATAATATTAAACTCTACTCTGAATTGAACTGACTACTAAATTTGTTGACTTTGTAATAACTCTTCAAAGAAATGAAATGACCCTGAACTCGATTGAACTGATCAAATCATAACTGAACTATCGCCCTGAACTGATAGTCTAACATTGATCGACTGACGACTACAATAAAAAAATTCTTATCGATATTTTTTAGATTAGGGGTTAAATTAACTCGCAAAGTCATCTATATTAATACAAACCATAAATGAACGGCTTTTAAGTATTCTACGCATGATTCTCTTTATCGTCTTGAAAACAGAAAGGTCAGAAGATTTTTAAACTGCTGAATCTCTGTATTTCAGTAATAAAATAATAAGTAAATAAATTTGTCTTACTACAGGATCGGGTTGCATTGGCACCTGAACTAATGATTGGGAGTGAAGTAGTTGAGCGTATTGACCGCTTCACTTATCTTGGGAGTCACTTCAGCCCTTGTGGTCTGGTATGTGACGAAATCTCAGCACGGATACATAGGGCTCGTCTAGCTTTTGGCAACTTACGTTATTTATGGTGTAGGCTGCTAGTATTCGATCATATGTGTCTTGGAACCATTGCTCACATAACTTGGGACCACCGAGTAAGTAATGCAGTTGTTAGGAAACAGATACTAGGTATGGATGGCAACTTCATCAGTGGAGCTTCATCAGTTGAGATGGCTGGGACACGTGTCACGTATGCCCAACCACCGAATGCCTCGTTGTGCAATGTTTTATGGTGTAGAAGTATGTTGAAAGGAAGCTAGGGGCGGCCAGACAAAAACGTTGCACAAATCCATAAAGTCGCTAACAATTGGACTGAGCCATGTTGATAGGTGTAGACTACCTAGTTGAGATCCGCGAGATGATAGCA